TTGTATCTGTACAATATGCCATGATTTTGTATTATATATCAAATATATAATGTAACGCTATTCAAGTATTTATTCATAAACACCTTTAAAATGTTTACAGAGAATAAGTAGAAATTAATTAAAGTAAATAGTCATGTCATGTTTTTATAGCTTAATGAATGATTTTCGTTACAACTGATTGATCAGTGGGCGGTGATAGATGCCATGTACGTCAAGTACTTCTTAATGCAGATCAAATCATATAGATCAGGTTGCAATGTGGCTACCAGTCTAGGTGACTTGACATAGGATATAATTCGATCTGAACTAAGAAGTACCTGATATACATGACATAGATCACTACCCAGTGATCAATCAATTGTAAATATGTCTCAGTCCTACAGGAGGTTAATCGCTACCCGGATAGTTCAATGGTAACGTCTCTGACTGTAAAGATGGGTGACACAGGATCAGAGAGTATCAGTTCCCTCAAAATTACAGGTACACCTTGATGACGAGTGCCAAGTAGCACGAAACCTAGGTCCAAGGTTTCCTGTTAACTACCTCAACATAATGATCTTTATAACGCGTACCTTTTAGTTACTTATAATTTAAATGACTTTAAATAATGTTTATTTTTCTGTTTATTACTTTGTGTACAAGTTTATCACTTTATTGATAATAAAAAAGAAACGTCTCGCTGATCGTTCGTCTTGTTGTCGGTTATTTGCTCGTTAAAAAGGCACCATATTGATAGTTTTACATGTGTAATTATCAACCTTTCACATAGTTAAATCAATTCAGACCGTAATTTGTACATCCAAATGTATATAGAATAGTATCACATTTACTAAACTGGACTATTCGATCAAGAAGAGCTAATTGTGTTTTTGAATGATATTAGTAGCAATTACGTCAAATGGAAGTGAACTTTTGGATTATTCTATGATCTTTAAATTATGTAGTTATGATAACCTTACCTATAGCTGGTTGTCTTTGTAGGTTATATTATCTTAATTCATACAAGCTTTTTTGACCTCACACCATGAAAATCGGTTGGCCTTATCCGTATAGAGTGATAATTAAATCTATATCAGTGTGCTTATTGATTATGCAGTAATCTGAATATTAAGCTAATAGAAATCTACTGGAATGCTTGAAACTTCCTCTATCCATAATTTAACATTTTAAAATTTATTTACTTAGTCATCAGTGTGTTTTAAATCAAATGAAAACATTTCATGTCTTTTCACTGATAGTTTTTTTTAGTAATAAACAAGTTAGCAAGGAGGACGTCCAAAGTTTTCAACATACTGCTGATGCAAATTATTTTATAAGTAATGCTGTATTTACTTTCAATTGCTATTGTGTATTTTAGTTTACACAGATTGGGATGAAGTGAGTGTGCTGACTTACAGACAATATTGTTCTAGAATGATTTTATCAGTCTTGTGGTAATTTCCGTGTATAGCAGACCAACCTGGTTTCTAGTTTCCAAGAGTCCTAAAGTGTTTATTTCTTAGATGAAGTTTTGCTTACTGCCAGTTATATGGAAAACGAATGTGAAATGAGTTTTATCTTAAATTTGCAAATTCAGAGTTATACAGTATGTTTTAGCCCTTATAAACATTATTTGTATGCATTACTATTAGTGTGCTGGATCTGAGCGACCATTACTAAATGCTCGTATAATTATTAGATTTGTTACGGCCATATCTTTTAATTTTTCGTGTTAGTATGTTAATAAAATGTTTACTTAATATACTAAACCGAAGTTATTACCTAAGAACAACTAAATTTAATAGGTTTTCCTGACTACTATAGAACTTTTAGAATGAATATAAAAAGAGTGCTGTGTGATGTCCCACCTTAGCTCCTTATTGAACATTTTAATTTATTGAACAATCCTTTGACATTCGCTTTTAGTCGAATATTTGATTATATTCTTCTTTAACAACAGTTGTTTTTTTCGAAGTGACAATACACAAGATAAAAAATAAGAAACCATAGTTTCTGTTGTTCATTTCATAGATTTAATGAACTTCAGTATCATACGAATTTTAAAATAATGGCACTGATCGTATACGATCGGTACGATATTGATCTTTCATTGTTAAAGTTTGAATAAATGTAACTGTTATCTAAGTCTAAAAACAAACAATATTCCTAGTTTAGATTTCACTAATTACTGTCATAAAAAAATTGTCAGTCAGTCTTGAGTGCTGTTAGAGGTATGAGGGTGGTTTCACTTCCCGGTTCTTCTGGAGGTACCTGAAAAGGAAATTGGATTAAAGGTGGTCTTAGTGACCTGAGAGCGTGACCGCAGTGCCCAAGGATAATGCGAGGTGTTCATTTTTAGAGTCCACCTTTTCTAACCCCAACCCTCCTTGTGGGAAGGCAGCATCGCTGTCATGCTGGTTGTCTGAAGGAAACACCTTACTGCTGTCACACCTCTGTACAGTCAGCAGTACGACTTCGCCTTCGGACCTTAGGTTTGTTGCTTTTATTCTTACCGCTCTTCAACCGACCTGTCTGACATGGTAGGACTTTGAGGAACGATTGTTCTAGCCAGTATAGCTCGGTTGCTTCATCAAGATAGGCAAGCCCGACCACCACGTCAAAGTAGTAACAACGGTAGTAGTAGACCACCTAAGTTACTGGGTTAGATCTTTAATAATAATTATGATTGTACACTGATATACAATAGCTCACATACTAATGTCATAGTATATAAATTAAAGATAAGATATTAATTGAAAATTCTAAAATGTTACCGTCATTGAAATACAAACAGATTTAGTTCATTGTAGAAATATCTTAAAATTATTTGGCTGACGAAAATGTATAAATATACAGAACTAAGCATAGTTTCATAATTGTCACATCACTATAAAAAAGATAATAAAATAAAATAACTGCATATTTTCGAAAATGATTAATGAGTTTTCTTTCAAAACTAAAAAAAAATTTTCTTTGGTTTTTCTCTGGGGGGAGGGGGAGGTGTAATTTTTAAAATTTACACTTGACAATATATTGTTTATATTTCTAGTGTTCAATGTTTCTTTTAGAAAAAGTAAATGAGTGATACTAATTTATTTATTTGTTTAAGTGACTTCTACAATATTATGGCGGATACTTTAAAGCTAGTGATTAAATAAGTGGAGACAGAATGTGTTTTTTTCTTCCTTTCCTTTATATACTTTGACATTTGATCACATTACCAAAGGAGAGAGAGAGAGAGGGGGGAAATACGCTTGATTCTTATGAAAGAAACTTTCATTAATTCATTAATCATAAAATTCCTTTTGTTGTTTTATTTTTATCTTTTAAATAAAGGGAAAAAGAAAAATCTTATATGATGATGGATGAACTTATCTTGATTATAATTTAGGACACCTATTGGTCTTATTACATTTATATCATTTGACAGTAATTAATTAGTAATTAATTAGGCTCATTAGTTTTACATAGAAAGCGGAATTACGAATGAATAATTATTATAGATTAGAGCCTTGATTGGTGAATTAACGTAACCATTACTTATGTATGTATATATACATATGTAACTAAGCAAATGATGAAAAGAATATATATGTATATATATATATATATATATATATATATATATATATATATATATATGTCTAACTTGTCTACCGTGATTGGGGACTGTTAAATGAAGCGTAATTATTTATTTACTTATTCCAATAAATTTATCTAATATTTTGTTATTGTTTTATTGAAATATGAGACAGATAAAAGTTCTTAAACGTTGTATCTTATATCAGTTTACAATTTGATTTGTACGTATGTAAGGGGTAAAATGTTCAATAGATCTCAATGGACATATATTGAATTATTTGATTGAGATCATGAACCGATTGATGTGCTCACTAGTGATTAACTTCGTGAGGGAATTCTCGGAGTTCTAGTGAGAAGCCGTGACTAGTGGAGCTAATCCGTGTCGGGTAGAGACAGGTATATAACCTCAGCACAATAGAAGATGGTTGTGCGATTTCGTGGATTGGTTGATGTTAGACATTAACACCATTGGGTGCCGGCTCAATGGTCCAGTAGGTTAAGTGTTCGTTCGCGAGACTAAAGGCCCTGGGTTCGAATCCCATGAGCGGGATCGTGAATGCGCACTGCTGAGGAGTCCCACAATAGGACGAAGCGGCCGTCCAGAGCTTCCAGGTTTTCAATGGTGGTCTGACATCAATCGGTTCATGATCTCAATCAAAAACTTAATAATCTCCACAACCCTTATACTGATATACTGAATTACATGATCTATGGTAAATAATATAGTTTGAAAATACTTTTAATCAAAGATTGTTATTTTCTGAAAAAATAACTGGGAATCAAAAACTAATAGATATTTATTTTGTATTGTTACGATAAAGGATTTTTGGAATTTCCGGAATTTTATAGTTTACATTAGAAACTGATATTAGTTAGACAACTATTGAAAACTAGGAGGTATTTGATAGCCGTTTAGTCCTAGTCCAAAACTTTGTCAGAGTTCATCCACGACCTTACTGCAGTACGAACACAAGAGCTTCGAGTCTCGCGGCAAGCGTTTAACTATCAGACTATGAAAGCGGCATCCATTGGTCTTGAACTCGAGACTCCTCAATATTTAACGTTCGTGACTCATTGTTTGATGTAACGAGGCAATCACTAGAAGTTATCATTGGTGATTATCTTGCTCTTGATGTGACTGAAACTCAATTTTCACTAGAAATGCCAAAGTTATTCACTTGAAAACAATTGATTATTATTTTATTTAATGGCTCGTATTAATCAAGACACGTTTGTTGGATACATCGTATTCGTTAAAAGTTCAGTGGAGTTCTTCTTAGCAGTGTTAACAATGAAAATAATGAAAGTCTTCTCTATAGTTACACTTTTAAATTGAGTAATAATACTGAACTTCAATCAACTAACTTTTGCTTATCTAATGAGGGATTATTAGTTAATTCATATATATAAAATTTATGTAATCATATGGATGAACTTACTTTGTTTCTTTTCGTACATAAACAGTATTATTACCAATTGATGGAAAGATAAATTGTGGTGTATTATCATTCACATCTAATATATGTATTAAAACAATTGTTGTAGATGATAATTTTGGTGTACCCTGATCTTCAACACGCACTGTCAATTCATATAATGGATATAATTCACGATCTAATTTTGATCTACCTAAATAGATTTGTCCATCTTTGGCAATAAAAAATCTATATAAAAACAGTGAATACAAATAAAGTCATACTATAAGCTATACAAATAAATGAAGTTTATTCAAACATTGAGTAATCAGTATTTTGACTAAAATGACTATGATATGTCTTATCATTTGAATACTACTTTCTATATCTGGTCATCGCTGATTGTTGTGTCATTGATGCTTTCACTTATACTGGAACGATAGAGCTTTGCAATTCCCACGACGCGAAAGTAAGAACAAAAAGACTGGTATAAGTGAAGATTTATTAACCCCCAAAACACGACGAAGACAACCCAAGTTGAAAATGTACTCATCTATATATTGATTTGTACACCCATTTTGATTAATAATTAGGATGAAATCATATATGAAAAATACCCAGAGTTATAACAAATCACATGCTGAGTATAGTTCATGTCCACTGAATACAAGAATATTGTATGTTATACAGAATGAAATATCATACGAGAAAACAAAGTCGAATACTACACTGAATAATCACTATATTGGAACAAATGGAAGTAATGTTAAATAATAATCATAATAATTGAATCAATCTAATTTTAACTTTTCTTCCCATCATATCAGATTACATTTAAAAAGACACTTCTTACGACAGAATGATTATTGTAAGCAATGATGGATAGTGGCTAGCATTGGAATCCAGAACGCGCGCTTCGTCCTATTTGGGACTCGTCAGCTGGATGTACCTGCATCTCAGAGTTGATGTTCACTCTTGGACTCGAACCCAGTTGCAGTCTTAAACCTCAATGGGAAGATACGAGCCAAAAAACAATACCAAGAGAATGATTATTGTTTCACAAATTATTGAATGCTTGATACACTAGAACGTCATTTCATGTTATGATAATTTTGAATATTTCAATACTTTCTTATATTTCAAAATACAAGTATGAAATCTGTAAAAGTTTATAAAATGCATCCTAAAAGATTAGTGTAAGTATCATGTTTAATATTATCCATCTACATGTTTTGAACTGTAGTCATCAAAATACTTTTAACTGTTTAATTAATTGTTCTGTTTAAATATGTATTTAACCATCTTCTAATGAACACAATGTATGACCAAACAAAGAATTATTTTAATACCTTTTTACTATACATACAGACGGTTTTCATGATCCCGACCACAAATCAAAGTCATAAATGATCAGTGAATGGAAATTTCAATGAAGCTTTCATCGTTCTTCTAAATGATCAAACCATCCAGCTTAGAGAACAAAACTTCATTAAAATCATCCATCTGAGCTACAAATCTTCTCTATCATCTCAATATTTGAATAATTCATATCATGCTAAAAAATTGACGTGAGCATGATAATGAGATTACTACGACACATGAAACTATCAATGATATTCATTGTGATACTGATACATTTCTTCATCAAGATTCAACAGTAACTACGATGTGAAATTACAAACTATCAATCAATACTTCACACTAAATGATGAATCAATGCGATACTTTTTGTTTGTTTGTTTACAATTCTTTGTACATATTAATTCAAACTTATTAATTCCAACTTTTTGTTTAAAAACAAGCAAACAAACAAACTTTACGTGTTAATTATTATCTAAAATAAATATCATTGATGTGCTTTTTTTTCCCTCCTTTTCTCTCTTTTCTTTTTCTTTTTTACTTCGATAAATTATTCGAAAATAATAGAAATAAAAAGAAAAGGTTAATCAATCTATTCTGTATCCAACTGTCTATCTTTTACATTTCAATAAATCGTTTATCATTTATCTATAAAATTAAATAATTCAATTATATCATTGAATTATTTAATTGAACAAGAGTCATTCATTGATTCGGAATAAGTTAGGTAAATAATAACAAGTTTAGGAGATAATTTGAATAAGTTTTGGTTATTGTGTTGTATTAACTACTAAATGAATAATGTTTAGATTATATACATGATACTTAGAATATACAGTGAAATATTTAATGGGATAATAACAAAGATATGATATTAGTTTATGTATTTACTGACTGTTGTATAAAGTTATTCAAGTTAAGGTTAACTGGATAAACATAACTTATAGTTCAAAATGAATTAAAGTGACTTAGATATGTTTATTATTTATTCAATACTACTTTCCAGATTGGCCGGATACCATCAGCAACAGTCTACTTTGAGAGAGAACAAACTAGCTTCCAGCTGATAAGGATATTGGAAAAAGACGATGGAAATGGATAGGATATACATTACGGAAATCATTAAACTGAATCATAAGACAAATGCTAACTTGGAATCGTGAAGGGCAGCGGAATAGTGGAAGGCTAAAGAACACACCTACGAAACTCAAAACAAGTGTCCTCAAGCCAACATCGAATTCAGAATCTTCAGTACGAACGTCAAGACAATCCTACTGTATAGAACAGAAACGTGGAGAACTACCACAACCGTCATTGAAAATGTACAATTTATAAATAGTTTAAAACAGTTAGTCCCTTTGATAAATTTCGATAATGTAATTAAAAGACAAAGATTATTACATAGTTCTGATAATTTTCATCTTCTAATTACATTATCGATGTTTATAAATAATTGTCTACATAAGACACTGAATTTCCGTTGGCCTGATAACATCAGTAACAACGTTCTGAGGGAGAGAACAAACCAGCTTCCAGCTGAAGAGCAAATTAGGAAACAACGTTGGAAGTGGATAGGACATGCATTACGGGAATCACAAAAGTGCATCACGAGGCAAGCCTTGAAGGGCAGCCGAAAAAAAAGAAGGCCAAAGAACACACTACGTCGGGAAATAGAAGCAGCTATGAAAAGGATGAACAACAACTGGATAGAGATGAAATGGATTGCCCATGACAGAGTTGAATGAAGAGTGCTGTTAGGCGGCCTATGCTCCTGAACGAGGAGTAAAAGTCGAAAGTAAATAAGTTTCTAGATTTGATTATTCTCAAACTTTATCCCTTGATTGCTCTCACTTTGGTAATATGAACTTGGAAATTATAGATTTAAGCGTATTTGTTCCAGTTCTTATGTCATTCATGACTAATTAACAAATACATAAATATGTTAATCTTGAACAAAATAGTTTATATACAATAAATTTACAAAAAAAATATGTTAAGTAAATATTGAATAATTGCTAATCAATAATGAAATTTGTTTTTTTACACCCAAAGTCAAAATCTATAGGATTTCTTATGGTAGTTTCTAATCCCATTTTCATAGCCCTTTTGTGAAAACAAAGAGAATTGTATTTTATTATCTATTTTATATCAATCACATAAAGTAATACACAATATTGTGCAAATACTAAAAAGTATATAAACTTATTCTTTGTTACTATGTGCATAAATAAATGGATATTCATGGGGGAAACTGAAAATATTCAAGTAAAATGTAATTTCTATTCATAAGAATAATGAACATATACTAAGTGATTGAAAACACAAAAATAAATGTAATTTAAAATTCAATAAAATATAACTGATTTTTTTAGATAGAAGTAAGTGAATGGAATTAACAGAAGGGATTTTGTAAAGATTTTAGTAATTTCACTGATTGAAATCATGAGTCAATTGGAGCTAGACCACCATGGAAAACCTGGAAGCACTGGACAACCGTTTCGTCTAACTTCAATTGACTCATGATTTCAATCAGTGAATGGAATTAAGTTACAATTATCTAACTATTCTTACCGGCTATTTTATGTTCAGTCTGTAAATTTGTTTGTTTGTTTTCTTATTCATACAATTAATTAAGTCATACGTTAAGTCGAAGTTCAGGTTATCTTAATGAAGAATGTCATTTCATTATGGTACAGTGTATTCCAATTCAATACAAACTATAATATAAATATTTCAGAATAGTTTTACACTAGTACAACATAAATATATGACAATGGAGAGATTGAAAATGATGTTTAGCCAATAGTAATAATAACAATAATAACACAAAGATTTGTGAATAAAGATAACAGAGACAATTACAATTCACTACGAAAGGTCGTAAGCACAATAGTCAAATTAGTTCATTCAATAGCTAAGATTACTATTGATTATTTGGTTTTGAGGAGAGGAGAAGGGGTTGGTGATATTCCATTTGTATTCAAAGCTCCAGTTTCTTCATCCGGATGGCTATTAATTCAGCCGCTTGAAAAACTTCAAGTATGACAAGCATTGGCAAAAATTACTGACCAAATAAATAATTGAAAAGGATTGGTTTATACTGGCATTATGACCAGTTTGCACTAAATGTGACAATAACGAACTGTTCATTTTCTTCACCAGACCTTTCCTCAGCCATCCAAGGAGGTGTTCGCAAGCACGAAAATGTAAATTCCTAGAACTTCGACCAATATAACTTGCTCCACAGGAGCAGTCGAACTGTTAAACACAAAATGGGATGGTCATTCTAGGTAATTCATCTTTTAGCATCGGTTTCTCCATTGAGTGCGTAGAAAGCACTAATCGTAATTAGCCGACGTTGAAAGATTTTTGTATTGTTCTGCTTAATCTCTCAGTTAATATTTCGCTAACTGTAATCCTTCTAAATTGTAGTCACATGAACAAAAATTACTTATTCACCATCTGTATTTCGCTTATTCTCATCTTTGTGATCATATCTTTAATTATAAACTTTCTAGAGTAACCATTCTCTCTAAGAGTATTACTCACAGTGTTTAGCTCTTCTTCAACTGTATCCATAGAACATATAGTTTTTATTCGATAACTAAGTGTTTTGGTCAGATTTCGTTTGAGCTGTAGAGTTATAAAGAGTTATAAGTTCTTTTTTATTGATACATTCGCTCTCCTAATTAAGAGAACGTCGAAAAAGTCTATTCTACCATCACTCTCTTCTTCTTATGTAAACTCAATAGCTGAATACACTTCATTAAACTTCATAAGAATCTCTTACTGTGATTCAAATTTACACGCTTTAAACAATTCACCTCACGCTTAAACCTGATCATTTGAATTGTAGGAACCTGAAAAGAATTTCTTGAAAACAACATTCTTCATTCAAATATTAATCTTTTAAATATCTAGTCATATAATCATAAATATCCGAATGGATTTTATAGATATTATAATAATTTTTAATAGTTCAAATCATAAGTCAATTGAATCTAGATCACTATAGAATACCTGGAAACACTTGACAACTATCTTGATAACTCCGTCTACGACCACTTCCAGAGCTACTGATGATCCCAAGCCCGGATAAAGGAGGAGGGTTAGGCATGGAGTTAGCGACCCCATCTCGTAAACAACTAACTCGCTAAAAAAACGCTAATTCATTCAATATACGAAATAGAATATAATAATAATGATAACTAATTCTATATATTTCAAATACATAATCCATTCTAATTATACAAACTGGTAAATCATTATAATCAAATATATTTTTTGTTTTTACACTAAATAAGAACAAATGCAACAATGATTCTATGATCAAATTGATTTATACTTCCTCTTTTATAAGTAATCTCTATTTAAATCAGTGATTTAAATAAATAAATGAAATACAACTTGGATATAAGGTGATATTCAATACTTGAATAGGTTAGATATTGTACAATAGATTTATTGATTATTGTAATTGTTTCACCTGAATGAATCTACTAACTGGTTCATTAGATATTCATATAAAATATTATTGTTATTATTAAATTTTAAAGGAAAAAAATTGCATTTTATATAATTATATGATTATTATTAAGTACGATATGTTGTATCATTGATGAGTTATTATGACTACTTTTTAATCTAAATCAAACTCAATAAGTCAATTGAAACTAGACCATTATGAAAAGACTTGGAAAGACTGGATGGTCATTTCGTCTTATTGTGGAACTGTTCAGCTGTGCGAATCCACGATACCACCTTACGAGATTCCAATTCAGGACTTATTAGTCTCAAACGCGAATCCTTTAACTTCTAGACTACTGAACTGGTATACAATGGTTTGAATGTCTAACTTCAACGAATACACGAAATTGAGCGATACATCCCCACCATTGTCTTCAGTGAGTTACTATCTCACAAAAAACCCAGTTGAACTCTTATCGTCACTGCTTCTTAATTGAACTCCAAGAAATATCTCTATAGTATTTGTTTAACAACAGGTTAATTTCAATGTTTCCGTTTTATTTGTTACTCCCACATGAAAGTCTGCCTGTCTATCCATACATACATACATAAACATATATATATACACCTAGATGCATTTTATGTTTGTTAAATGAAATATTCAGAGTAAAATAAAAATAAAAGTTCATTCGTCTAATTATAGGAAAGTATACGTCATTGAATCATGTTAACCACTAATTCTCATGACAATAAGCATATCTAAAAATGAAGACAGCTACAGGATTTTTGGTCTGTGTTCGAATCTGACGAGGTGGGATCATGGATGCTCACTGCTGAGGAGTCCTAAAATAGGACGAAACGGCCGTCTAGTGCTTTCAGACTTTCGATGGTGGTCTAGCTTCAATTGATTCATAATCTCAACTATTAAAAAAGTTACTATAATATCCACAAAAAACCCCTTCTGATAGAACTCATTAAGTTTCATTTTCCCATATCAATATTTTTAGTGTAAATATGTATAAAATCAACTGTACTCAATACACGTGAGTCCTAAAATTAAGATAAAAATCTATTCAATAAACCTTGATTTTTTGATAGAGATTATATATTACTGCAATGCCAAACAAATCATATACTATCGTGGGTAAAACGGAGGTATGCAAATATTGGTGAGTCATAATAAGTAATCGAATTCAAATGATAAAAAAGATTTATATGTCAAATGGGTTCTTTTTGATGTGTTGTGCTAATTAAAATTAATGGTTTAAGTGAAAAGTATGGGGTTCAGATAAATCGGCAGTCACTGAGTATATCGACATAGAATCTATCTACCAAAATACATAGAGAAGGTTAACCAGTCACGTGGTTAGATTTCAATCGTACAGAACGTTCATTAGAAACATGAAAGTAAATGAAACTAATAAAACATCTAAAGAAAACGTTTTACAAACATGATCATTAGAACAAGCTGATTCAGTGCTTGTTTATATTAGTAAATTATAAGTACATCGAGTTTTAAAAAAATACGATTCAGCAAACTGTTAGCCTAGCTGTGATCACTGCACACATATGTTTGTCAGGCTCAATCTAGTAAAACATGAACACACTAGAGTTGTGCGAACTATTTATCCGTTTCGGCAATATACCTATAAACTCATTTCTAATCTTCTAATTCTCCATATTTGGCCGGGCAAGGCTTAGGAAAAGTGTATTCTGATTGGATCCAGTTGATAAACAATAACAATATCCAATGTTTCTCTAGTTCACCAAGTCTTCTAATGGAGTTGTCTTTAAAGTATACAAACCTTAATAGATGTTTATTTTGAAAAGAATTTGCGTGACGATGCTTCAATTTTAATCTTATAACAATATTTCTGATCTTGTATAATGGTTGTCTAAGGTGAATGCCTAGGTTTATTGAAGCTTTAGTCAAATCTACAAACTTATGTAATTTTAATAGCTCAAGTTGTAAATACATTTGTTTATGTAATTGTGATAATCTGGTTAAAATGGAAAGGATTTTTTAGGCATTAAACCGATAGTAAAATTGCTTAGTATTTTCATTCTGTTATGACAACTATAAGATTATCGTTTAACACTTACGTAAGCAGCAAATATTCAAAAAACAAAAAAAAATCAAGACTTCCACTGAGACCTAACGTTTGATGATCTGAAGCCAGTTTTCTATTCACAAGTAATCATATCAATAGAATAAGTATTAAATTGATGGTGTATTAGCCTAACTGAGTTTATGTTGGTAAGTTTATCAGAATTGGAGATAAATTCTAGTCTGTTGAAATAATCCTATTAGATATTTTAAGTAATATGAAATATTCGCAAGTATATGAATTTGAAATTCTGAATAGTGGGTGTTGTTTTTGAAAATAATTCGATATAGAAAGTGATTTCCAACTGAACAGCATCTTCAAATGCTTATAATAATAACAATAAGTGTCCACTTGAGAACAACTGTATTTTCTAAACGAGCATGTTCTACTAACAAATTATAATCGTACATATGGGTAGCTCAGAGATAGAATCTTGGGAAATTTAAGTTGATGAAGAATAAGTGGTTGTATTCAATCATGTAGGTGATGTGATGGAATGGAAGGGTAAATTTGCATATTTAACTACACACAGTGTAGTATTTGTTTCTGATTTCCAGTGGGATATTTTATATGGTAGTATAATGTCCTTAGTGTTCAATTAACGAGCACTATGTTTAGCATGATATGCAGTATGAGATTTGTTATAGTCCTGAGCATTTTTCATATATGCGACTTTTCTAAATAATAATCGTCAAATGTGTGTACAAACTAATATATAAATGAGTGTATTTTCGACTAGAATTGTCATCCTGTTTTCGTGTTGAACAGCTCTCCACTTGTATCAGTCTTCCTTGTTCTTACTTCGAGTTGTGGGAATGGCAGAGTTTCCTCGTAATCAAGTATGAGTAATAAGCGACGTCGTTATTTTAAAGTCGTCTGACTGATTCCGAGCTGTCCATTGTAAACCGTATTATCCGTTAGGTGTCGAGGTCTTCATAATCCAGTCGACCACCAGAAGAGGAAGGGGGAGTGTAAACAGCCTTGTTCGACCACGGTCCTTATTTGAAATACATCTGTCAGCTGTCCTCTATGCAACACTTTGCACTCTGCACTCTTCACTGGGTTCCAGACAATGTTGACAATATTCTCATGGACTCTGTAGTGTCGAAGATGTTCCCATAATATTCTTCTATCCACACTACCAAATGCTTTTTCATAATCAAGGAATTTGATGTATACTGACGAGTTCCATTCAATTAATTGTTCAACGATGATCCTTATTGTCGCGATTCAGTCTATGCATGATCGATCCTTACAGAATCCAGCCTAACTTCATTTGATGCTCATGTAAAAATGAATAATTATCAAAATATTTAATTCATTCATCATTACATTAACTTACGTATACATAATTTCAAGTGATTGTGAGAAATTTTTCTTATTGTTCAAATAATTTTCATATGATTCATGAACTATACTATCTGAACTATTGAAAGTATTTAATCCATAAGCAATACATTGAATTAACGTAAAAGTTATTTCGGCATTTCGACCAATATCTGCATCATATGCAGTAATTTTACCAATAGCCAATGCTAAATAAAATGAATAAATAATAAGTAAACAAAATGAAAAATACGAAGTTAATAGAAATCATTTAATATATACTAGCATGATACTTGACTATTGACATAATAAAATATATATGGAGAACATGGGATGTTGTTAGCTGTGGAGTCTAGAATGTACATTTCGTCCCGTTTTTTTGAGCTCTTTAGCTAAATGTACTTGCAATTTAGTATTTATATTCACTTTGAGATGCAAATCCAAATACTTTAGCTCCAAAAAGTTACAAAAAATAAATTAAAATTCATAACCATTGAACAAATGAGTTTCTATCTGTACTCAATAGCTAAATTGATAAGGTGTTGATGTTTGAAGCGAAAGACACTGAATTAGAATCTCTGATTGATTATCAGCACTGGAATCCAAGAACATCCTGTTGGTACTACAAATTTCTTTAAGCTTGATAGTCATATTGTGAAGGTTTCAATATATACCAGGAGAACACTGAAGACCCCATTGGTTTCAGATAAGATAACATCACCTAACTTCTTTAATACTGTTTGTGCAGGTTTTCTTAATTTGTTTTCTTTTTAATATTTTGAATGACAAGCATATCATAGGTACTCACATACATATGTGTTTATACAGATAACAGAATCATCAGAAGACACCTCTTGGCTGAATAACTCTCTATCGCATATATTTAAATTCAGACACATATATTTATTTATTTGAACACATAAACACTAGTACAAGGGGGGCACCAAATACATATGAACCACACAATAACAATGAGTTCAGTAGCAGTTATAATTGATTTATGTGAGGGCTGTGATACTGCCCGAGTGCCCAAACCGAAGCAGGCAGTTTTCTTAGGGGGCCACAGACAGGAGGTCTAGTCCACAGATGCAGTCCCATATTAACCGGTGACCAACAATAGGTTCATACGCCATTTGTTCCCTCACGATTCTAATGCCCGTATGCACCACTGGTTTGGAATCAGGGTGGATGTATCCATCGACCCGGTTAAAGCGCCGGACATTCACTTTTCGTCCTGTTAATTTCGTAAACAAGGCAGTGAGTAACTCCTCCATGGCAGTTGTTGTATGCACGTGGCCATGTGAGAGCATTTGGAGAGGGAGAGTGGAATCTCCCCACCCTCGGTCGTACCACGGCATTTGGGGGCACATCAGATGTAAATAGACATAAATAGACGCTCGTCATATTTTCTAATTCGACTTCAGGATTTTCTGTAATCATTCCGGTACTCATTAAGTTATTCATATTATGAATAGTATGAATACTTCTTTTTTCACATCCATACAGATTTAAACTGATAAATAGATGCTGTTCAAATCTATGGCAACACGTAAATTCCAGTCTGTTAGTTATTATGGCTTTGACAGAGCAGTAGATTTAAGCCTAAGTTCTCACATAAGTTTACTTGACTCACAATGGATTCAGACATCGTTTTACAGAGCTGCAGTCATAATGAATTTCAATAATATACTGACTCTCTATTGGTTTATTTTGGTTATTAAGTCTATTTGAATATTTTTAATTAAGCTGTTACATTTTATTTTCCATTATCCATATTCAATAGATTTACATTGATAAACTGTTTGCCGAATTCTTATAGTTTTAGACTGAACAAAAACTGCTGAACATATTAATTAGTCCATTTAAGAATATCCGACTGTCGTAATCTATCGTATACTGAAGGATACAGTGACACTATTTTTTTAGAATCATTTTAAAAAATAATTACTGAGCAACCGTTTTATTTCCATTCCATGAGTTTTGTTTCCTTCTGACGCTCGTCAGTGAACGTAATTTTGAGTTTGAAAACTAATTACATCGATAACATACAACCTCATTTTAACTACTGAACACATATAATACCAGAATGTTTAGAATTTATATATTCAATTCATTTGAATGAATAATCACTGAAAATATACACATACATATATTCAGTTATGTGTATAACAAAGTTACGTGAATGCAACAATCAAATCACACTTGACGGAGAAGCTTGAAAGGATTTAAAAACCTTTACATATCTAGGCAGCATCATTGATGAACACGATAGATCTCATGCAGATATGAAGGCGCGAATCCGTAAAACAAGAGCAGCATGTCTACAATTGAAGAACATCTGAAACTCAAAACAGTTGGCAACCAACACCAAAGACACAATTTTCAATACAAATGTCAACACAGTTCTACTATATGAGGCAGAAACATGGAGAACTACGAAAACCATCATCCAGAAAATACAAGTGTTTATTAACAGTTTTCTGCGTAAAATACTTTGGATCTGTTGACCAAATACCATCAGCACCAACCTACTATGGGAGGGAAAAAGTGGATTCCAGAGCAGGAAGAAATCAGAAAGAAGAGCTGGAAGTGGATAGGACACACATTGAGGAAGCACCCAACTGAGTCACAAGACAAGTCCTCACTTGGAATCCTCAAGGTCAAATGAGAAGAGGAAGACTAAAGAATACATTACTTTGAGAAATGGAGACAGACATGAGAAGAATGAACAACAATTGGATAGAACTAGAAAGGAAGGCCCAGAACAGAGTGGGTTGGAAAATGCTGGTCGGCAACCTATGCTCGATTGGGTGTAACAGACTTAAGTAAGTAAGTAATGAATTTTACTGACATTCTACAAATATTATCAATTTAGTAATGTATACAATAGAAATATAATGAAACAAAACTTACAAGCTGTATGATTCTCTAATATATAGAATTCTATTTTATTCAATATACTCGGTGGATTATCATTAACATCTTGAATAATTATTGTTATATCAGCACTAGAATTTAAACTTGGCATTCCATTATCTGCAGCATGAATTTGAAAACGTAATTCATTTATCATTTCTCTATCTAATAATTTTTGTACTGTTAAATAACCGGTAGCTTTATTTACATCGAAATAATTTGCATTTTGTCCACTTAACCAAAATGTTAATTTAGCATTTTCACCTATCATTATCAAAGTGAAAGAATAGAGTGAAACATTGTAGATAATTATTTGTTAATGCAGTTAATTTAGATTGTAATTAGAATATAGTAATATATATATTCATTTAAAAAAAGGTGTAATCTGATTCGGGTTATTTGACGGAATACACATACTTTCTTTAAGTATAACAGTGTTTGACAACTGTACGTTCAGTCACATACAAACATGGAGAACTACGAAAGCCATCATCCAGAAGATAAAGGTGTTTATTAACAGTTGTCTACACAAAATACTTCGGATCCGTTGGCCGGACACTATTAGCAACAACCAACTGTGGGAAAGAACAAACCAGATACCAGCGGAGGAAGAAATCAGGAAGAGCCACTGGAATTGGATAGGACACATATTGAGGAAAGCACCAAACTTTGTGACAAGGCAAGCCCCCACATGGAATCCTCAATGTCAAAGGAAAAGAGTAAGACCAAAGAACACATTACGCCGGGAAATGGAAATAAACATGAAAGAAATGAACAAGAATTGGATGGAATTAGAAATGAAAGCCGAGGACAGAGTGGGTTGGAGAATGCTGGTCGGCGGCCTATGCTCCATTAGGAGTAACAGGCGTAAGTAAATCAGTAATTATATCATAAATAAGAAGTAGTCATTGACGTTAATTTATGACTAATTAGTAAATCTTTCTTACTTTTACAACCTGAAATGAGTCTTCAATATAATTAAAATCGATATATTATAAGAAAATTTATCCATCAAGAATTCTACCACTTTCAATATTGCATAGATACAGTGCTGATTTGTGTTAGGAAGCATGGCACTTGATTCCACTAACACGAGACAATGATCATCATGATGTCAATAATGATGTGATTAACAGAAATTGAATAGCGCTACAAACTAGAGAGAATGATTCTAGTTATTACAAAGTTATCAGACAGTTCTTTAAAATCAGTATAGCTCTATTACAAGGTCTCTGAGTATAACATCATGAAAGTGTAATATTAGAATCAAGTCTCAATGAAAACATCAGTTTCCTGAATATTGAAAAATGATTTCTGTAAGCTTTTTAATTGTATAAAGCGCTTTTCTATCATATATTATCTATTTGACTAAAGAAAGAACAAATACTGTATCAAAATAACATGAATTAACTTATTTTATGGATTCTTCTGAGTTGCATACAACCTAAAACCATAGTGTTAATCATTAAAACAAAAATGGATACTTTATATCAGAAATGTCTGGAATGAATTCAGTTAAAATATGATAATAAAATAGCTTTAAGAGATCATAATGAGGAGAAATTTAAACTGTTCAAATGTTTACTTATTTATAGGTCAAGTATATGAATATTCTAGAAGAGTATGGAAACAAAAAAATATATTTTCTTCTAGAAACAGAAGATAGATGATGTAATAAGTCTAGTTGAGTAAAGCTCAGAAGTAAGAAGATACTACGACTTTGATTGAAGTATATGAAAAAATAAAAACAAAGTCTTACGCAATAATTTCGGGGTAAAAAAATTCGGTTTTTTTTATTGTAACAGCTTTGGCAAAGCGTTACAGTTTGGAATACATTTGTATGTTAATTACCTTAAAAGATTTTGCAACTTCAGCACTATGTACAGTGTCAAGTGAATGAAAAGCAATTACACTACTGAAAACCTTCAGTTCGTTTAATCCCAACTATGTAGTATATGTTTGGAAATGAGGACATAAACCATTCTTTCTGTTCTTCTGACTTATGTGATTTGACATGTACATGTCAACTGGTAAAACATAATCGGAGTTAACGGAAGGCGGATATTCATCTACATTTGACTGTCTCAATGAGCATTTAGTTTTGTATAGAGACACCAACTTGGTACCTGGATAAGTTCTTTTTAGTATTGTCTTCGGTCTAGCTATTTCATTACATTTGAAGTCACGTCTTAGGAAGAGAGGCTTTTTTTCAACCATAGGAGTGCATTCACATGCACTCACTGTCCCTTAAAAAATTAATACGGAAGCTTTCGAATTCCATCGTCAGTGTTTAATCTCCATACGAGTAGATCAGTGCCACACATTCCATATTTCTAACCCCAAACAAACTTCTGATATAACAATAAATATCTAATATCTTTACTACATATGGTTTAACTCCCAATATATATGACATAATGTTACAATCCATTACGGATACCATCTACATATTAAGTGTTTATTTATTTTAAAAAATGCAGTCCTTAATAATTATTGATTCAATAACATGAATAGTAATCGCTATGTCACATAAAATGACTACCATGGCAAATGTTCATTGGTGGATCCCTGTATGAAGCTGTTGTTCTCTATGTTCCATTTAAACTTTCTGCACTCAATTCTGTACGAGACGCCGATTATGCAGTGATCAAAAACCTCAATCTAAGAAAAAATAACTGTCTACTTCCAATTGGTTTTCAATTATTTTCCTGCCGATCGCTTCCAGTTTTTGATAAACTTCATCTTAAATAGTAAATCTTCCATCAAAGGAAAGAGGATGACAGATTGATTATTGTTTGTTGTATGAAAAATTGAATTGATAAAATGAAACTGAAATTTAGTCGGTAGGTTTTTATCTTTCTAAATAATCACTTAATCGTAACCAGGACACCAATAATTAACCGGCTGTTAATGACAACATGAATACATTTCAGTAAACAAATTACTTTTACAATTACAATAACAAAGTATACACATTTATGTATTACTGAATCTTAAATTTATGATATAAATTCGTTAAAGATAAGAAGTAATATTTTTTTGTAAGTAATGATGGATAGTGGCTAGCAGTGTAATCCAGGACGCGCGTTTCGTCCTATTTGGGACGATGCAAGATACAAGTCAAACAATACCAAGTGAATTTAAATTCACCCCATTGCACAAGCAAGTGGCTATCAGGACTCAGTATCTGAGTGGATAACGCGATGGTGTTTGAAGCGAATGGTACTGGGTCCGAGTCCCAGAGTGAACATCAACTCAGATGCAGGTATATCCAGATGACGAGTCCCAAATAGGATGAAACGCGCGTCCTGGAATCCACTGCTAGCCACTATCCATCATTGCTTACAAAAAGCTTATGAACTGAGGCAGTATCGAGGCAATATGAACAGTATGCACGTATCCCAATAAGAGACTGATCAATGGCAGTCTTAAACCTCAATGGGAAGATACAAGCCAAACAATACCAAGTGAATAAGAAATAATATTCATAATTTTTTTAATAATTTACCTTCATCAGGATCTGTTGCATTGATTTTGTTTATTATTGTTCCTATTTCAGTATTTTCATTAATATTAAAGTAATAATGTGTTTGACTAAATATTGGGGGTTCATCATTTACATCGGAAATTCTAACAGCTACTGATCCAGTACTATTTCTTGGTGGAATACCATAATCTGAACATGTTATCCAAACTGTAATTTTTGAAATGAATTCACGATCAAAACTGGAAGCAGTTGTTAGTTTATATCTATGAAATAATTCAATATTCAATGTGTTAATTTATAGCCACAGTTTTCGATGAAGTTTTGTTCTATGAGCTGGAGGGTTAGGTCGTGGAGCTTTTATTATTCTTCTATCCGAAGTTTGTGTTGATGATATTGTTCAGAAGAACGATGAAAGATCTATGACCTGACCATTGAGTTCAGAGAACAAAACTCCATTTAAATCATCCTCCTGAGCTACAAATCTTCCCCGTCATCTCAAAATCAGATAACCACAATATTTTTACATATTTACTCTACTGGAATAAATAACAACGTAATACAATGATGGTTTTTATCAAAGACTAATCTTAGACAGCTATTAAAAACCAAAAAGCACTGACCTGCTTCTTCATCCTAGTAAGAAACTCATTGACTGTGTACATTTTTATTCGTCTTACTGTTTTTTTATTAAAACATTTAATTGATCACAATTGATTGATCACTGGATGGTGATCAATGTCATGTGTGTCAAATCCTTCTTAATGCAGATCGAAAACTATCGACCAAGTTGAAACGTGGCCACTAGTCTAAGTGACTCAACATTGCGTGAGCTATGTTGAGATAAGATTGTGGTTGGAGGTAGTCAGCAGGAAACCCTGGACCCGGGTTTCGTGCTACTTGGCACTCGTCAACAAGGTGTACCTGTGATCTTGAGGGAACTGGTGCGCCCTGACGGATCTGACCCCGTGTCCCCTAGCTTTACAGTCAGAGACCTTGCCACTGAAACTTGGTCGATAGCAATTGATCTTCACTAAGAACAGCTTGACACACATAACTTTGATCACCCTCCCCCATAATAAATCGGTTGTGACAACATCTCAGTTCTACAGGTGGTCGTTCGCGGCCCGGATAGCCCAGTGGTAACGTCTCTGGCTGTGAAGGTGCGTGACACGGGATCGAATCCATCAGGGAGCACCAGTTTCCTCAAGATTACAGGTACACCTTGTTGACGAGTGCAAAGATAGCACGAAACCCGGGTCTAGGGTTTCCTATTTACTAGCTTCAACCACCATCTTATCACATTTCATTATTGAATAATTATAAACTCGAAATCTTATAAACAAATATACTTACATAATTGAAAAAGGCATATGCATTTGTTGTAAACTGAATAAAATTTCAGTTGGATTTAATAATAAACTTTCTAATTTTTCTTTATTTTGTGTATCAAATGTCCATTTTCTTGTTTCTGCTAAACGACAACTTACACGACCATTATCTCCACTATCTTTATCTTGTGCTGTAAATACAGCAACTAATCGACCAGGTTTTTCATTTTCTGGAACCAATGCATAATTTGTTAAATGAGCTGGTTCAAAATGTAATTCAGGTGAATGATCATTTTCATCTAATACTGTTATTTCTACAATACAAGTTGTACTTCTTGGTAGACTACCTCCATCATTAGCTTCAACAGTTAATATTATCTATGAAAAGATAAAATAAATTACCCATATTTCAATTATTATTGTTTGTTCCATACTGTATATTCTGTATGTAAAATCAATATTTTTCAGTTCAGTTAAACTGTACCGTTTGTATTTTTTTTATATGAAAACTATAAATAGTTGAATGATCACACTTTATGATATATTCTTTATTGATTGTTAATCGTTCAATGTTATTTATTATTCACTTTTCATTTAACATGATTGAACTTTACTGGTTGTGACTTTTTACTGGAACCCTAGTGACCCGTTGACCTAACTCTGATTTGATCTTATGATGTTAATGAACTATACATGCCGGCTACTCTTGTACATAATCCTTGATTTGATTCGCGTTAGAGTATAACAATATAAAATAAGTCAAATCTCATACACTCGTTACATCAGACAAACAATTCGATAAAAAATAACTGAGTAGCCGATCACATAAGAAAACTTCAACTCTATTTGACAAAGCGTAACTCACTATTTATAGCTACACAAAAATAAGACACGTGATGAAAACAGATTAGGCGATACATACATATTAGCTCATATCAAATCAGTCAAAGTTATAAACGAATAATTAACAAGATCAAAATGTAACTCAAGACCAATAAACTTATTGGTCTGTCCGAAAGCTAGAATAAGCCATGCAGGCTTGACATAGTACTAGATATTACAGAACCTTCAAGAGTTTGTACGAAACTAATCCTCATTTAGTACATGACTATTACTAAGACAGAAAGAGATTTTGGAGACATTTCAATGTGTAAAATGGTATTATTTATTGACCTTAGTGAATTCATAATAATGTGAATTGGTTTCAACTTAATAACAGCAATCAATTACCAAAACCTTGTTTTAAATTTTAATATAAAAGTGTTATACTCAACAAAATCGAATCACTGGACGGCCGTTTCCTCCTAATGCAGAACGTCTCAACAGTGCATATTCACGATCCCGCCTCGCGAGATTGAAACCCAGGATCTATCTGGCGTGAACATTTAACCTCTCGACCACTGAACCGGTATCTAACTGCTGAGGAGTCCTATACTAGAACGAAACGGCCGTCCAGTGCTTTCAAGTTTTCCATGGTGGTCTAGCTTCAATTGACTCATGAATTCAACTATAAACGTGCTATAATATTCACGAAAAACCCTCTTTGATTAAAATAGAATTAGATGAATAATTTTATTGAGAAAGATGAGAATTATCACCGTCAAATCATCACATGTCTAATCCATTTACATTAAATGATACACTTATTAAATTGTTACATAATTTTCTATAAGTGATTATTATTATTTACTTGGTTTATCTTAAGAAATGAATAACTGAATGAACATGATGATTTTTATTTTACTGATTAATGTGCTTTTAAAACTTGTACAATAAACTGAAGTCTTGTCAGAAGGGGTTTGTGGAGATTTTAGAAATTTCACTGGTTGGAATCATGAGTCAATTGAAGCTAGACCACCATGGAAACCCTGTAAGCACTGGAAGGCCGTTTCGTCCTAGTATGGGACTTCTCAGCAGTGCGCATCCACGATCCCACACCCCGAGGGGTTCGCGCGCTATCACTTAACCACTAGACCACTGAGCCGGCATCCAGTGGTTTTAATGTCTAACTTCAACCAATCCACGAAGTTGTGCCACCGTACACCATTGCCATCAGTGAGTTGATATGTCACAACAAACCTGGTTGCACCTGGTTGCCGTCCAATGCTTCCAGGTTTTCCATGGTGGTCTAGCTTCAATTGACTCATGACTTCAACCAGTGAAACTGAAGTTTTTCTTCTTTTTTCGTTTTTTTAAAAAAAGAAGAAAGCAATCAAATGAAAGGAAAATAAGGTGAGATGATAATTTATGAACGACCTTTAAGCGACGTTAGATTGACCTTAAGAGTGTCTACCTGGTAACTAGAAACAATTATGGGTTATAAATTAGTGTGCCGAATTCGAATTATGATTTACAGTTGATAGTTATGGTTATAAATTGGATTTAACGTTTTCCTCATAAATTGACATCAGTTATGATCCGAAAAATTTATTTACCCAAATGGATAAGTGAATTTCGCGCCAAAATCCAATACCTGCTATCTTATATATGATTGGTTCATTATAGTCTCAGCGAAAACAAGTTAACAGAAAAAAAATAATAAAATAAAACATTGCTGAGATGGTGGAGAAGATTTGTAGCTCAGGTGGATCATTTTGATGGAGATTTGTTCTCTGAGCTGGATGGTTTGGTTATGGAGCTTTAATCGTTCTTCCGAACGACAACATCAGAACAAATTTCAGATAGAAGAATGATGAAAGCTTTACGACTAAACCATTCAGCACAGAGAAAAAACTCCATTAAAAACATTCCGTAATAAAAAAAACACAAATTGTAGAATGTTTATCAGCAAAGACAGATAGTGGCTAGCAGTGGAATCCAGGACGTGCGTTTCGCCCTAAATGGGACTCGTCAGCTCGATGTACCTGCATCTCAGACCTGATGTTCGCTCTGGGATTTGAACCGAGTACCGTTCGCTTCAAACGCCATCGCGTTATCTACTCAGCTACTGAGTCCTGATAGGCCCAGAGTGAACATCAAACCTGAGATTAATGTATATCCAGCTGACGAGTCCGGACGAAATGCACGTCCTGGATTTCCCTGCTATTCACTATCGATCATTGCTTATAAAACTTGTGACTAAGGCAATATCGAGGCAATATGCACAGTATGCACATATGCCAATAAGAGGCTGAACAATTGCAGTCCTAAACATCAATGGGAAGATTGAAGTGGAACAATACCAAGTGAATTGTAGAATGTTTGTTATAAAATTTTCTAAGAGAATATATCATCATTGTGTATCCTAGATACAAAACACAATAGAAAAGCTTAATGTAATAATGAGAAATGGTTAAATTTATAATGATAAAAAATGTAATTAATTCTAATATTAAGTATTGTCTAGACAGTTATAGAATGTAATTTTATTTAGAATAATTAAAAGTTATAGAGGAAAATCTAATATGAAAAGATAAGCGTATTTGCTTTAATAAATGAACTTTGACAAATGACTAATTAAGTGTTACAATTAAGAACATTTATACAATAATAGTAATAATAAGTATTTCTAAGAGAATATATGTATTTGAAGTGATAGCAAAAACAAAAAAAAGCGGGAAAAATCTATTCAACTAGTTGCATTGATTTATACGACAGATTTGATACTAGGGCGACTAAGTTTAATTGCATTTTGTATTGTTTGTTTGTAACTTCTTAGTGATGTTTAGGACTCCAATTGATCAGTCTCTTATTGGTATATGTTTATATTGTTTTAAGTCATAAGCATTATAAGCAATCCGCTAAGGATACACATATGCTAAATAAAGATCGATCTATTACAGTCGTAAACACCGACAGAGAGATGCAAACAAACAATACAAAATGAATTTACACTTTACCTCATTGCACAAGCTAGTGGCTATTTAGACCTAGAAGGTAAATGGATTAAGCGATGGCGATTGAAGGGAACGGTACTGAATTCAAATCCTAGATTGAACATCAACTCTGGAATGCAAGTATATCCAGGTGACGAGTCCCTAATTGGACGAAACGCGTATCTTGGATTCCATTACTAGCCACCATATAACTTTGCTTAATTTAGTTTAATTTCGTCCATATATTGACTATTTGAGTATCCTTTCAGTTTTAAACATCATCGAATGATAAATAAGAAATGATACTGTTCAATACATAGAATTTTGATTTTCATTTACTACTTATCACTGATTCCTTTACTTATATTATGGTTGAACAAATGATAATTACCCTTAAATATGAAAACGTTTTGTGCGTTCTCTACTTTTTAAACAAACTAATCAGATTGTAAGCAGTTGAATAAACCTGACGCAACACATTAATTCATAGTTTTATGCCACTAATGCAACTCTTATTTCATTGAGGTGTGTAAAGAAACATTGTGCGAAAAAAATCAATATTTGCATGGAATTATTTTTGTTTCTCAAATTCAACATTCATGTGCTACTAGGTAAATTGTTGTGAATTGAATAGCCCTAATACTAAAGGAAAAGTTAAACGTAAGGTAATTTATAACCTATGCAACTGCATAAAAGTCCTGCGAATAGCGTGACCTGAAGGAATTATGGATTTACAATCCTACGAAATCATTTTCTAGTTTATAATATTTTCAATAGTTGAGATCATGAGTCATTTGAAGATAGATCAACATGAAAAACCCGGAAAAACTAGACTGTTGTTTCGTCCTATTGCTGGACTCCTCATCAGTGCTCACCCACGGATCCCGCCTCACGAGATTCCAATTCAGGACTTATTAGTCTCAAACGCGAATCCTTTTAACTTCTAGACTACTGAACCGGCATACAATGGTGTTAATGTCTAACTTCAACTAATACACGAAATTGAGCGATACATTCACCATTCTCTTCAGTGAGTTACTATCTTACAACAAACCCGGTTGAACTCCAATTTTCACTGCTTCTTACGAGAACTCCAAGAAATTCCTCCATAGTATTTGTTTAACAACAAGTTAATTTCAATGTTTCCGTTTTATTTGTTACACCCACACGAAAGTCTGACTGTCTATCCATTTATATATATATATATATATATATATATATATATATATATATATATATATATATATATATACCAAATGCATTTTATGTTTGTTTAATTAGATGAAATATTCAGAGTAAAATTAAAATAAAATTACAGTAATCTAATTATGGGAAATTAATACGTCATTAAATCATACCAACCACTAATTCCAATGACAATGAGCACATCTTAAAAAAAGCGACCCAGCAACTATATATTATATATAAATATAACTTTTCTAAACATTGACGTTTTTTTTAAATTACTGATACTACATGATGACTAAATTTAAATAATCTTGATATAAGATAATCACTTGAATTGAATTTTTGGCGAGACTTTAATTTATGGACGACCTTTGAACGAACCTTAAGTGACCCTGAGAAATATTAGCCAATCAGCAAACAGTCGATATAGAGTAAAAATATGTTATACAAAACCAAGGAAATAAAGTGGATACACTTCTTATATGTGGTTCAAAAAATTATCAAGGTGAGAAAGAGGTTCAGAGGTTCTAAAAATCGTAATGAATACAGTAGAGCAAATCATCCATATAGCTGCATCATTGTCGGCTTCTGCAGCCATGATAAAATCGCAAAAACTCATTCAGCCTTGACCATATAGCTTCAATTTCGTTTGGTGTACTTCGGCTTTTTTTGTCCAAAAATGCTGTTTGCTAATAAATACACGATGCACATAACCAAGTCTATGCAGCTATCTGTACGCTCTCCAATCATCCGTATATATTGTAGTACCTGGCTGCAGCCAGTATTACTAGTGCTTTTATTATCCAATTCGCAGTAATTGTCGTAACTTGCCTTAGCTAGGAATTATATATGAGGTTTTTATCACGAACTGGCATCAGCTAAATGGATGAAAGGCTTAAGCGTTAAAATCCGATATCTATTATCTTATACCTATTGATTCATCCACAAATTATAATCTCGCCGTTTTATTTGTTATAGCCGCTCAATTATCACGTTTTGTACAAAATTCCCTGTGAACCGATCATACGTTAGCATTAAGCACTGAAGTTGGCGCCGTAACCTTGAAATCTCCGAAACGTCTCTGATTGGCTAGTCCATAAATTAGTCTCACCGAATTTTCTATTTATTTTTTTTTTAACTTTTTTTATTTGTTTATTTATTAAGTTTTTCAACTGTACTTGAATATTTTCAACAATTTAAAAAAAAACTTATTTCATTAACTTTAAATTCATTGAATAATGAACTATATAACATATCTGTGTATATTTATGATAGGCGGCTAATTTAAATTTAAATAATCTATCTTGTAGGTTTGTAGAATAAAGAAAAAAACAGACAAATAAAGAAAACCAGAACAATGTAGAATATAATTAATGATTACTGTAGTAAATTAATAATTAATATCCTTAATATTTATTTCTATAATAATATGGGGAGAAATATAGAAAAATTAACCTACATCATAGTTGGTTATTCTTGTTTATTTTTTTTAAAAAGTATGATAAATTGTTTAGTTAACAGTTGAGATCATGAGTTATTTGAAGCTAGACCACCATGGAAACCTGAAAGCATCGAACGGCCATTTGATCCTATTGTGGGACTCCTTAGCAATGTGCATCTACGATACCTCGCGCGAGATTCAAAACTAGTCTTGCGCGTGAACGCTTGAACCTCTAGACCATTGAACCGACTGGCATCCAACGGTGTTAATGTTCAACATCAACCAATACACGAAATTGAACCACACATCCATCGGGCTTGTGGATGAGCATTGCTGAAGAGTTTCACAATAGGTTAGAAACGGCCGTCAAATGCTTTAAGGTTTCCCATGGTAGTCTAACTTCAACTGACTCATGATCTCAACTATTCAGTTATCAAAATATCCACAAAAACCTCTACTTGATATTAATAAATTGTTTGTTAGACATTATGGGCAACTTTTAAAATAAATCAATATGACATTAGATAGATTCTTAAAATGATACTAATTATTTGTCTAATGTTAATTAAATTGAATAATGGTTTATCAATCACAAACAGTAATATGTTTTTATTGTATCCAATGTCTAAATATCTCACAGGTTAAAAGTTATCATTGAATCGGATGATCATTAGGAATTTTGTTTTGGTATACATTTCAGTTTATGTTTGATTGATCATAAACAGATACATTATTCTTATATATTTAAACTAATAATTTCTCCCAATTTGTTAAATTATCTATCAGTTGGTTCAAATTCATTTATGAAATAATGAGAACACTTTGAAATATGGGTATATTGTTTTCAATAAAGATGATAACTTACTAATCCTCCTTAAGGCCTCCAAACACCCTGGTACAGCCGAGAGTCGGGAGAGTCCGCTCTCCCTCTCCAAATGCTCTCACATGGCCACATGTATACAACCACCGCCAGGGAAGTCCTACTCACAGCCTTCTCGTGGCAGGAGTGTTGTTTACGAAATTGAGAGGACGAAAGGCGAATGTCCGGCGATCAAACCGGGTCAGTGGACACGGAGAGTTTACCTAGGGGAGTTGAAGAACCCTGATTTCAAAAAAATGGTATCCTGAGGGAACAAATGGAGAATGAACCAATTGTTGGTCACCGGCTACCATGGGACTGCATCTCCTTACGTTACTCCACTACTTTGTGGATCAGGCCTATAGGTTGAAGGCTCCGGGTGTGGCCCCCCAAGAAAACCACCTAGTACGGTTTGAGCACCCTGAGAGTATCACAGCCCTCACAAAATGAAATGAGATTTGTGTGGCACATATGTATTTGGTGCCCACTTTTACCAGTATCTATGTGTCCAAATAAATAAATAAAAAGTCATCCTTAAGAAATTGTTTGACAATGAGCTGTATAGAGAGTGATACATAAAACCGACAACGATTAAATGATGGCAGTACAAGATAAAGAATCGACACATTTAGAATATAGACCATTGGTTCATGACTAAATAAGAAACTTGAAATTCACATAAAAGTCTATGTACATTTTTGAGAGTCTCAAAATTATACTGTAACAACAGTCTAGTATAGTCATAAAACAAAAAAAAAACGTAATAGTGCCTGTAGATTATTTTGTTTAAGTTGAGTTTAAAGATTAATGGACAGATATATTTAAGTCAACTTCTTAGAGTTGTCTGAGGAATTAAAGTAAGATTAATAGTTGTGTTAAAAAGTATAGAGATCCTGTTCAAGATAACCAATTTTAATATCTTTAGAACAATAGTTAATCTTCGTTGTTCATGGTATTGCTTTATTATGTATAACATAACTGTAGCCTCGTGGTTAGATGACCCTATCAAAATGTTTTATAACAGTAATAATGTAGTGAACTATAATCTTTAAAGCATTTCATCTACTAGAAACGACTTCAGCCTTAAATTAAAAGTTGAAACTGGCTCCAAACTCTCTGTTAGTTATCAATTCAAACTAAGATAAAAGAAATTTATTAATAATATATTTACAATCGGGATTTATAGATTCCTTTGATTATATAGGTAACATCAGATAAATCCCGAAGTTCTAATAAGAAATCATGACCAGTGGAATGTATGATTCAAGTGAGTCTCAGTGAGCTGAATGTAAGGTAGTTGCTTACCAAATTCATTGAAAAATAGTTACAGAATATTATGAGCTGATATGTGTTAAACATGTAAACCATTAAATATCAGCTCAATGATCTAGATATTAGTCAAAAGTTACCGATTTAGATTTTCTCTGTGATCGCGAATATACACATCTGAATAGCTCCATACATGAATGAAACATTCCAGTTAGTGCTAACAGGTTTGCAATGGTCTTTTAATTAACATCAATTTGTAATATTAATTATGAAATGTCTTTTTCTTATATTATTAACTAAAATATTTATAAAATTATTAACATACTTTTTTGTGTATTTCATAGTCCACTTCCCATTGCACATGTATCCAACCAGTTATTGGATCCAATGTAAATAATCGTATAAATTCCGGTTTAGTCAATGAACTTATTCGATATTTAATTTGTGCATTACTTCCCTCGTCGATATCATTGGCTTTAACCTTTAAATAACCATGGAAAAGAAAAGATTTTTGTTGATAACTTAATATATATAATGTTGAAGGCTATATTAGTGCATGATGTACTTAAATCATTCTACATACTTCATGAAAAAATTAAGAACAAAACATATTCCTTTTTAAGCAAAGATGAATAGTAACTAGAAGTGGAATCCAGGACGCGCGTTTCGTCCTATTTGCTTCATCCATCTTTGCTTAAAAAGCATGTGAGTTAAGGCTATATGGAGGCAATCCGTCCAGGATGCACATATACCAACATGAGACTGTCCTAAATAACAATGAGAAGATACAAGTAAAACAATACCAAATGAATTTAGAACATAATCCGTTTAATTTCAAACTCATTTATAGAATTGTAATTTTAAAAGTAAATGGTTTTGGAAAGAAAGAAAAAAAGATATATGTTTATTAGTTACCTATTACACAAATTAATATGAAGATGAATCAAGTTAGATTATAATATTTTGTGTAAAGTTATCTTTAAGCAGAAAGTAACAGCTTATCTTAAACTTACTTACTTATGCCTGTTACTTCTCGTGAAGGAGCATAGGCCGCTCATGAGCTTATCTTAAAAAATGAAAATATTTCAGACTATTATTAGAAATAAATTCACCTGGTGTTGTTTTACTTGTATCTTTCCATTGTTATTTAGGACTTCAATTGGCATATTTGCATCCTGTACGCATTGCCTCGATACAGCATTAAGTCACAAGCAGGTACATTTAGCTGACCAGTCCCAAATAGGACTTAACGCACATCCTGAATTCCACTGGTAGCCACTATCTATCTTTGCTATCATTAGAATTATTAGGAATCCTTGGCTTAATTTGAATTTACATTATCGAAATTATCTTCATGATATTATAATAAAGATTACATAAAAACCAACCAGTTCAAGTAGTTAGTTTACAAAGAAAATAGTCAAAGAATAAGTTTGTGTTAGTTAGTTAGTTATGATATTGATTAGTTTAATGAAAATGATTGATGATTCAACATAAAAGTTAATTAGTAAAATGGATTCTTACTTATTAATTTAAACAGTTGAGATCATGACTCAATTGAAGCTAGACCACCATGGAAAACCTCGAAGCAGTGGGCGACCGTTTAGTCTTATTGTGGAACTCCTCAGCAGTGCGCATCCACGACCCAAAACCATTAAGTCTCGCGCCAAGCGCTTAACTAACTAAACCACTGAGCCGGCATTACTTACTTACTTACGCCTGTTACTCCTCGTGAAAGAGCGTAGGCCGCTCACCAGCATTCTCCATCCAACCCTGTCCTGGGCAATCCTTTCTAGCTCCGTCCAGTTGTAATTCATCCTTCCCATATCTGCTTCTATTTCCCGACGTAATGTGTTCTTTGTCCTCCTTCTTTTCCTCCTTCCTTCAGGATTCCAAGTTAGGGCTTGCCTCGTGATGCAGCCTGACGATTTGCGTAATGTATGTCCTATCCATTTGCATCGTCTTTTCCTAATTTTTTCTTCAGCTGGAAGCTGGTTTGTTTTCTCTCACAGTAGCTTGTTGCTGATGGTATCCGGCCGATGGATGTTGAGTATCCTGCGTAAACAACTATTTATAAATACTTGTTTGATGATGGTTGTAGTAGTTCTCCAAGTTTCAGCTCCGTACAGTGGAATTGTGTTGACGTTCGTATTGAAGATTCTCACTTTGATATTGGTTGAAAGTTGTTTTGAGTTCCATATGTTCTTCAAGTGCAAGAATGCGGCCCTTGCTTTGCCAATCCTCGCCTTTACGTCTGCATCTGAACCTCCTTGTTAATCGATGATGCTTCCTAGGTATGTGAAGTATTCTACATCTTCCAGAGTTTCGCCAACAAGTGTGATCGGATCGCTGTTCTTCGTTTTGAATTTGAGACTGAGCCGGCATCCAACGGTGTTAATGTCTAACTTCAACTAATCCACGAAATTGAGCGACACATCCACCATTGTCATCATTGAGTTACTACCTGATACTAATCTTACTTATTAGTTCGATTAAAATCATACTCTATTATCCTTTACATGTTTTATAATGAAGTATTAATGACAATTAACTAAACTTTAATGCATAAAAATACACTAGTTCATAATTGTATCATAATGATAAAAAACAACAACATAATGTAGATCAATTAGTTTTGTAAATCACCAGATCATTCACAACCTTTTAAAATGTTCTATTTATTTGTATCATTTTACTTTTTTAAATTGTTCACTACTTAAAAAAATTCTAAAAACTTAATGTAGGAAAGCTTTAAGAGAAAAAGCAAATTATTATTATCAGTATAGGGGTTGTGGAGATTGTTAAGTTTTTGATTGAGATCACGAACCTATTGATGTTAGACCACCATTGAAAACCTGGGAGCACTGGACGGCAGTTTCGTCGTATTGTGAGACTCTTCAGCAGTGCGCACCCACGATCCAGTAGGTTAGGCGTTCGTGTGCGAGACTGTAGACCCTGAGTTCATATCCCGCGAGCGAGATCGTGGATGCGCACTGCTGAGGAGTCACACAATACGACGAAACGGCCGTTCAGTGCTTCCAGGTCTTCAATGGTCGTCTAACATTAATCATTTCATGATCTCAATCAAACTATTATTTTCAATCTCGTTCTTTTATGGATTCATATTAGTTAAGTGTACACACACATACACACATATATATACACATAGACACATAATATTTACTTATTGAAATGTAAGCGTAAATTTAAGTAAACTCAAAACACTAGTTACAGCGTCCCATTCTAGGAATTGATTGTAAATATAATTAATTAGGTATTATGAAAATAATTTGTATTAAGTTTAATATCAGGAAATCTAAAATTATTCAACAATATGATTTTCTACTAGAGGTATCAATTTCTCTGAACAGTTCTAATAATGAACTAAACTGTTAACATGTTGTTATGGTGTATATATTTTTTATTATTCGTTTATAGTGATCGATTATTAAGTAGTAATCTGAGTTACATTTGATTAGTTATTGGGGCTGGTCAAATTCTATTGTTAAATTTCCAAGTCTTACCGGATATTAGCAACTGCTGAAATAGATGGCATGTTCTTCTATTTTTGGATGGGTTCGAATCACGAAAGAATTTTCAGTTTCTTTTGAGATCACACTACATCTTTCCATTAATTCCTAAATAACACAAAACTAAGATTTAAAGTATCTATCCGACCACCTTTAACTACCTTAACCATTACCAATGATTTACATGTTTCATTTGTCATAATGATCTCTGATGTGATTCAAAATAATCAGATACCGATCTACATATTTATTTAGAATACTATTTTCATTCAAAAGAAAATTCACTAATTGAATGAAGTGATTTTTTCTCTTCGATATCATGTTACCGACCTAACATCATCCTGACTGCATGCTTAAATGAATACCTTTAAAGCATAGAATCTTAGCCAAAGAATAGTTTAATTTTAAAATAATTTCTCAATATATTTTATAGGCTTACAATTGACGATCATCATAAATAGTCGAAAAATTAAAATATATTATGCAACGTAACAATTGCTTGATTTTCAATTAATTACTGGTTAGTACAAACTGATCATAGTGCCAGTATAAATCAGTCTTTTTCAATAATTTATAAGGTCAGTAATTTCTTGCCAATGCTTGCCATACTTATAGTTTTTCAAACAGCTGAAGTAGTAGCCATCCGGATGAAGAAATCGGAGCTATGCGTACAAAAGGAATTTCTTCAACCAATCCTCCTCTCTCGGCCAACCTCAAGGCCAATAATTCAATAGTAATCTTAGCTATTGAATGAACTAATTTGACTATTTTGCTTACGACTTTTCGTAGTGAATTGTAATTGTCTCTGTTATCTTTATTCACAAATCTTTGTGTTATTACTATTATCATTACTATTGGTTAAACATGATTATTAATCACGCCCATACATGATTCATTCACTTCGCATCCATCCCTCCTTATTACGCCTTACATTAAACATTTGATCGAATTGTAATTGCACTATTATTTCTCTTATTCTATCTGATCCATATTTATTCGGATCATGGATCTTAACATTTCCAATTAACATATTAGCTGATTCAAGTTAACATTCTACATGAGTCATCAACATTGACAATTGATGGTTATTATTAAGCCTCATTCTTCTAATTACTCAATCTTAATTAATAATTGATATGTCATTATATAATTATTAAGTAGCGTATCTACTCGATGAGTATTATTTCATTATTGTTAATCATATATATATATATATATATATATATATATATATATATATATATTATATATATATTATATATATATATATATATATATATGTCAAAATGAGAATTTTGAAAATTGACTTATGAGTTCAACTATTAAATTACTATCATGTCCATAAAACCCCTTTCTGATAATAATCATCATATGCTCACTAGTGACGGTCTCCAAGATGTATTTCACGGAGTTCTAGTGAGAAGCCGTGACCAGTGGAGTTCGAATGGGTCTGTTATGAGATAGTAAGTCATTGAAGACAATGGTAGATGGTAGCGAAATTTCGTGGATCAATTGAAGTTAGACATTAACACCATTGGATGCCTGCCGGCTCAGTGGTCTTGTGTTCGAATCTCGCGAGGCGGGATCGTGGATGCACGTTTCTAAGATGTCTCATACTAGGATGAAATGGCCATCCAGTGTTTCCCGGATTTCCATGGTGGTCTAGCCTTAACTGACTCATAAATTCAGCCACTAAAAATATGAATTTTATTACGAGAATAAAAACTATATATAGTCATTCAAAAAAAAAACTAGAGGAACCATTTAAATGAAGCATGCAGTATGATGATAATCTATTTGGTTTTTTTTCATTTTATTATGAATACTGACTGTATCATGCTTTATTCAATAATAATTTATCTATAAAAATTGAATTGTCTTTTAATTAATTAAATGAAAAAATAAAATAACAAATAAAAATGGCGCCTAGTAGGATTTAAATTTATAGAAGCATCAAAATGTAATAAACTTTATTATTATTATTATTATTATTATTATTATTATTATTATTATTATTATTATTACTCACATTAACACAGTGGTTTTGAATGGAAAAAACCGTTATCAATAGTATTCTGATGTTACATGAATCGACTCATAAATGTATATATCTCATAAGCATTGATTGTATTGTTTTCACTTTAGTTTAGACGTCTAATAAATATACTTCAAATGTAAGGTGAATATGTAATTTAGATGAAGGCTATATCAGATGGTTACTATGTCATGTCGATTGATATGTTAAGCCCATATACCTTATTCTAGCTACTGGACAGGCCAATTTATCTATCCTAGTTGAGTCACATTTTCACTTTGTTAATCATATTCACTCATCAAACTTGACTGTTTTTATATAAACGTATGTGTGTACACGTCCTATCCTACTCACCGCACGTCTGTAGCTTATTTTTGTGTAACCATAAATATCGATTAAATGGTGTTGACTCACATGCCTTCTCCACTGCACGTCATTTTGCTTAGCTCTCTTCTCTTTGCTTGTCCGATATTTTGTCTGGACCAACGATTATATCAAATATACGTATTTAAAACTTATTGTATTTGATTTATTCAATTCTGTTATTGAATAACGCGATTTAGGTCAATGAAATATACGAAGATAGACGACATATATATTTCGACAGCAGTTATCCAATAACGAACATTCATACGATCTCATTGGAGTCAGATCCTGGGCCACTAAAACTACGTCATTGAGGGATATGATCATATATGAAAATATAGTTTATTACAATAAACATATTATTACATGTATTACAGTCTCCTCTATATCGTTCTAAACATTATTTTACCGAACACTAAAGTTTGCTACAAAAGCAACGAAAGCAAGAAGACATTTTGTAATGGTTTTATTCAAGTTTCTTAATCCTTAGAATTAGATGTCCATAGCGACTACTAAGGATCAAATCCAGGACATCATTTAAGTAGAGCATTGAGATTTAATAAGGACTGATAATTTTTTTGATGATATCAGTCTACGTCAAAGTTCATGTAATATTCCACAAAATCCTCTGTCGTCCCATATGTGAAATCTTAATCAGAAACGGTGATATTTACTCTCTATCATACTTTATCATACAATACTACGCTTTTCAGGTTTCACGTTCAGAGTATTACCCATAGATAACTAAGTCAGTACACAGTGGTTCACAAGTATATATATAATCAATTTGCGATGTTGCAAGGTCCTCATTCATTGACGTCCCTTATGACTGTTTCAGTTCCTTTGTGCATGAAATTCACCATACCTCATCATACCTCAAATGTTTAGAGATTATAAAGTTAACATCGATTGATTAATTATTTATAAATAATGAGTTTAAACATAAAACGAGTGTTATAATATCTCAGTTCATTTAACTTCTATTCATAGATTAATGTACATGATTAAGGAAATACCATTTAACTATTGATTGTACATTTACAGTAATTATCAGAAGGGGTTTGTGGAGATTTTAGAAATTTCACAGATTGAAGTCATGAGTTAATTGAAGCTAGACCACCATGGGAAACCTGCAAGCACTGGACGGCCGTTTCGTCCTAGTAAGGGACTTCTCAACAGTGCGCATCCACGATCCCACATCCTGAAAACACAGGACCTATCAGTCTCGCGCAAGGCTCTTAAACAACTAGAACACTGAGCCAGCCGGCATCCAATGGTGTTGTCTAACCTCAACCAATCCACGAAGTTCCGTCACCGTATACCATTGTTTTCAGTGAGCTGATATATCACAACAGACCTGGTTGAACTCCACTGGTAACGGCTTCTCACTAGAACTCCAGGAGTATATCTTGAAGTCAGTCACTGGTGAGCATATGGTGATTATAATCAGAAGGGGTTTTGTGGAGATTTTAGAAATTTCACAGCTTGAAATGGTGGGGTGCGAGATCGTGGATGCGCACTGCTGAGGAGTCCCATACTAGGACGAAACGGCCGTCCAGTGCTTCCAGGTTTTCCATGGTGGTCTAGCTTCAATTAACTCATGATTTCAATCTGTGAAATTTACAGAAATTCTTGGATAATTTGGATTGATGGATTCTATACTACAAAGTTCAATGTTTAAATGTTATTAAATAGATTGTTTTTTTTTCTTCGAAACTCTTCAGAGAAATATATACAAACTTAGAATCTATATATCCACTATATTAATATTGGCTTAGAAGGAATATTCTACAGTTAGACAACTAATAATAAATTTCTTTTTTATTGGATTAGTGTTCTTTTTTCCCTAATTTATATAACTTGTTAACCAACAGAGTAAAATCTAATCTAGTAACATAACTATAATGAATCTTTGATCCTATTTTCATACCGAATAATTTAGTGTTATTATTAAACTACGTATGATCAATAAGTAAGTTAAAATATAAACAAACCATATATGTGATAATTTGGATAGTGTATTATTTTCAGAGTATGATAAAAGAAGATTACCCAGGAAAGAACGTTAATAAATATATACTGTATTTAAAAGAGTTACTACTAATATGTTATATATGTATGTATATATCTACTGTATAATTTGCCAAATTTATGGTAGTTTATATTGCTGGTGTATTCTATTCAAACCACGTCGGTTATGGTATTATAGCAACTCACGTGCAATTGAGTTTGTTCTCATTTAACTCAGTTAAGCGCTTTTGTTAACTTATTTAGCGGACAAAGTCATCTGTACTATAACAAATTATTGTGCCTTTATTATTGTTGTGCTTGTATGAAATTTGTATGCTTGAACATTGCTTACCGCCTACGCATATATTCATTCTGCTAGCTTTATTATTAACTGCTTAATTGATTCGATGATCCATTCATTTCTCTATGTATATACATGTACATTTACACTCTCTATACTCTCTGTTCGCTGACTCATTCATTTGCCTCTCTGCTTTGTGGTCTGAGTTATCTGCTAATAAAATTGTAGTCGCTGCATCTCTTTGCCTTCTGATTTCAAACAGCGTTGAGGATTATATGGTAACGGTTACGAGGGTGATTGGTCAACGAAGCACAGTCACTAAAACATTAATGAGATCAACACAATTCGATTTCAGTAAATTTCATGTACTTTGATTTAACGAAACTTTCAGTTGTCCAGTCAAAATAAATTGTTTATTTCAAACACTAGAGAATAATATAAAGAATGTCTAACTGATATAATCATCACTTTAGCGGCCAAGGTTTAGGATTTTAAAACTTCAGGATGATGAGCTCAAAATAGATTGAAGATTGTTTTCTGGATCCTATTGTTAGACACAATCTAAACATATTAAAAAAAAGATTATATTGAAGCACATGTCCTAGATGTATATATGCCGGAAGAGACTGATCAAAATTCAGACATAAATATTTGCACATCGTAAAACCACAAACCCTTAGGAATTTAGTCATTTTCAAAGCTCACGTATAACTAAATAAATCACCAATAATCCACAGGATAGTGTAATACTCTAAGAAGAATTCAAATATTACCAGTCTTCAAAACAATAATGTTATAGGCATATGAAAATCAATTACTTGTATAACTGGTGTATGCGGTCGAGCATTTTCATGCAAATCTACAGTATATGTATCTTTTTCAAAAATCGGAGAATTATCATTGAAGTCTGTGATATGAACTTGTAACTTGATTGTTGTATTTCTACTTGGTGATCCACCGTCTATAGCAGTTAGATTGAATTCATATAAAGATTTGGTTTCTCTGTCTAATAGGCTTCGAACAATTAAACGAAGTTCATGTCTCGGACCAGGTGGTGATCTGATAAAATGATCAGAATATGATTGAATATCACTAGACTGTATATCGCCAGAGAATTGATTGTTTGCCATTGTAGCATCTCTGTCAAGTGATGTCCATTCTAACTGAAATTCAGGAAATTGAGGTTCGATCATATATTTCATAATGTTATTTGACCCAGCATCTTGATCTACAGCAGGCGTTAGTTGAATGGAATCTCCGATAAGGCTACTTTCTGATACGTAAACATGCATCACATCCTTGAAACATAAAAATCAAATGATTTCCAATTAATGTCAAATGATTTCATTTTCATCAATATAACACCATAGTTTTTACATCTGATGCTATTCAGACTAAATATACAAATAGTTTAAGTAAGATAATAACATTATTTAAATAAGATATGTATTAAGATTGAAATGCGATAGCTATTTGAAGTTTATCACTGTGATATAACAATATGAATATTCGAATTACACTTAATAGGTTATCTCAATATAACTTCACCCTTTTAGTGGAATGCACATGTGCTACAAGCCAACGGCTGTTATTTACCAACTTTAAAAACAGAGTAGATACCTTTTAAAATGATAGAATGAAGGGCCTGTTCAACTTAAGAAACAAAAACAAACGTGTAGTCGGTGTTCATCGGTTATTTTTCTAAAGTTAGAAAAGTGTTGTTTAGCGGATTCTAAACATGAATGCTACATCGATGCTCTTGACAAATTTTTAATAAAATTTAATCCAATATTTTATTTCGTCAAATTTAACAACAGTTATTAAAAGATGTTCTACCTATTTATACACTAATAAAACGATAATAATTGCATTATGCAGTACTGTAAATTATTTTATCGACCGCAAGATTCGTATCACCCATCATACAGTATTGCAATGGATTCTCTCTTTAACATGCATTCAAATAGTTACATACTTACATACGCCTGTTACTTCTCATGGAAGATCATAAGTCTCTCACCAGCACTCTATTCAACTCTGTTCCGGAAAGTCCTTCCTAGTTGCTACTCATCATTTTCACGTCTGCCTTCAATTCTCGACTCAGCGTAATATTCGGCCTTCCTCTTTTCCGTTTCCTTTCACGATTCCAAGTTAGCGCTTGCCTTGTGATGCAGTTTGATGATTTCCGTAATGTATGTCTTAAAAACTTCCAACGACTTTTCCTAATTTCCTCTTCAGCTGGAACTCGGTTTCTCCTTTTCCATAGCAGGCTGTTGCTAATGGTGTCCTGTCAACGACATTTAGTATCTTATATAGTCAGTTGTTTATAAGTATCTGTACCATTTTGATGAATGTTGTGATCGTTTTCCACGTTTCGGCTTCATACAGTAGAACTGTCTTGACGTTCCTATTGAAGATTCTGACTCTGATATTGGTTGACAGTTGCTTCGAGTTCCATATGTTCTTCAATCGTAAGAATGCAGCCCTCGCTTTGCTAATCCTCGCATTTACGACTGCATCGGATCCATCTGGTTCATCAATGATGCTTTCTAGGTACGTGAAAGATTCTATATCTTCCAGAGCTTCTCCATCAAGAGTAACTGGGTTGGTGTTCTCCGTTCTTTGCTTGAGGATGTTGGTTTTTCGCTTGTGTGTGTCGAAGTCTACTAATGCAGAGCCTGCTGCTACACTGTTTGCTATGGCCTGCATTTGATATGTATGGCATAAAAGGGCCAGGTCATCTGTGGAGTTCAAATCGTCTAAGTGCATCCAAGCTGTCCAATTTATCCCGTGCTTCTCGATAGATGTCGAGGTCTTCATAATCCAGTTGACTACCAGAATAAAGAGAAAGATAGAGAGTAGGCGGCGTTGTCTGATTCCGGTTCTCACTTGGAATGCACTTGTCAGCTGTCCTACATGCACAACTTTGCACTGTAGTCCGTCGTACAAGTTCCGTATGATATTGACGATCGTCTCAGCTACACACCATAGTGTCGGAGATGTTTCCATAAGAAACTCCTACCTATACTGCCGAATGCTTTCTCATAACAAGGAAGTTGATGTACAGTGACTGATTCCATTCAATTAATTGTTCAACGATAATCCGTATTGTTGTGATTTGGTCTGTGTACGATCGATCCTTAAGAAATCCAACCTGTTGATCTCTAATTGAGACGTCTACTACGTCTTTCATCCGGTTCAGCAACACTTTGTTAAAACATTTCCTGGTACCGATAGTAGTGTGATGCCTATGTAGTTCTCACATTTGTTCAGATCTCCGTTCTTTGGAATCTTGATGGGGTATCCTTCTTTCATTCTGTCGGTACTTGTTCTTCCTCCCAAACCTTCCTGAACAAAACGTGGAGGATGTTTGCATTTACATCTGTGTCTGACTTCAGTACCTCAGCTGGTTTATTACAAGGTCTTGCCGCTGTTCCATTCTTTATTTGTCGTATGGCCATCCTGATTTCTGTGATTGTTGGTGTAGTAACAGCTAAAAGAAAGTCTATAGGTGCTGTTACGATGTCCAGCGGGTTCAGTGGGGTCGGTCTATTCAAGAGTTTCTCGAAGTGTTCTACCCGTCTGTTCCTCTGTTTTTGAATCTTCGTGATTGTCTTGCCTCGTTTGTCCTTGACCGGTGTCTTTGGTTTCCTATGTTTCCCTACTAGTTTCTTCGTCTTGTCATATCTTTATTTATATTTCCTTCTTTTGAAGCTTTACCGCTGTCGCTACTGTCTTCTACTCATTTCTGCTTGTCAATTCTAATGCTTTTCGTCACTTGCTTGTTTACTTAGTGTATTCAGCTTGTGCCTTGACTTTCTCTGCTCGTGTTCGGCTGTTGTTAATTGCTGTCCTCTTGTTCTTTCCTTCTTGAATCAGTTCCAGGGTTTCCATAGGAATCCATTCTTTATGATGATGCTACTTGTCGCCCAGAACCTCCTGACACGTTGAAGTTAGTACTTTTTTGATCCCTCTTAGGTCAGAAATTAAGTGGTTTAAATTGTTTATTTTGGTTAGCGTTTCTTTAGCAAGGTTTTTTTACGGGATGGGGTTACTGACCTCACGCCTAATCCTTCGTTTGAGCTTGGTGCCGGCACTAGCCCTAGAAGAGCTACAGGTGAAGTTCATTCAAATGGTAATCACTCAAAAATCTATTTTTATAAATATTTGTCATAAAAACGAATGAGTACATACTGTCGACATTCTTTCTGTAACCATGCAGTTACAAATATAGATACACCTAATTTTTTAAATAGATCATCAGTAGTAAAAGCATAACATTTTTAAAAAATCTAGATGTTGTCACTTTTGCGAACCTTAAAAATTACTGAAAATAGTTTTTGACTATCAAATGGGTTGGAATTATACATTAACACCATTGGATGCCGGCCTCCTCAGTGGTTTAAAGGTTAAGTGTTCATGTGCGAAACTGAAAAGTTCTGAGTTCGAATCTTATGGACTGAGATCTTTGATAAGAACCACTGAGGAGTATCACAGTAGAACAAAACGGCCATTCAGTCCTTCCAAGTTTTCCATGGTGGTCTTGCTTTAATTAACTAATGAATTCAACTATTAAATTATTAGATAAACATTTATTATTTCCCATCTCATTGAATTAATAATAAAAAAGTTCCACTGATTGAAATCATGAGTCATTTGAAGCTAGACCATCATGGAAAATCTGAAAGCACTGGACAGCCGTCTCGTCCTAGTATGGGACTCCTCAGAAGTGCGCATCCACGGCCCCGCACCCCGCGAGGTCCAAAAACAGGACCTATCAGTCTCGCTCAAGGCCGTTTCGTTCACGTTTCTGGTCACGATGTGGGCGTGGGTTCGAGTCCCACCTCCGGCACATGCTTGAAGAGTTCCATACTAGGACGAAACGGCCCGTCCAGTACTTCCAGGTTTTCCATCGTGGTCTAGCTTCAATTAACCCATGATTTCGATCCGTGAAATTTTTCTAAAATCTCCACAAACCCCTTCTGTTAATAAAAAAACTATTGAAATTTCTTAAGAATTTTGCTAATATACATAAGAAATATTTCTCAACTATCTACATTCCAATACAAAATCCATTTGAACATGTATTCCAATAACAGGTTATATAAGTCGAATTTCTTTAAACAAACATAATACAGTGAAAGGTTTAAACAATGCCAATGGTCATATTGATTCATTGCATAAACCGTATAAGTAATATGAAAGAAATTGTAAAATGTAAATATTTCAATAAAGAAAATATTTACGAAATTATAACAAATAAAAGTTTACATTAGAAAGTAAACATATTTGCAAATTTAAAAGTGACTGAAAAGATCTATAAATTAAATGAATGTACACTTATAATAACTCCATTTGGAGACACTTTAGTGCTACTGACAATCCCAAATATGGATAGAAGGAGGAGGATTGGGCATAGGCTTAGCGAACCCATTCTGTAGATAACTAACTCGCTAAAAAGAATACACAACGCTAACCAGAAAAAAATAATTTAAACAATTCATACAATTATCAACAAAAATGTATCTTGTAGTGACTCACATTTATCACGAGAACACGCCTGGTTTAATAAAAACAATTATTATTATAACCAACTGTACCAGTGTTTGTTTTAATGTGCTTTTGTTTAACTGTGCTAATTATAGCAATTTTGTGCTTCCATTCTTATTCTTACACTTTGATTGTGACCTCGCGCGAATTCGGTTACGTTCTGTAACCAAGCTTGTATCCTGGCACGATCTCGGTATCCTTTCGATACCACGAGATCGCCAGCGAATATATCTCGATTTGGTCTATTAATTGCCTTCTGATATTTGGCTTCTCGGGGATTTCATGGATTTATTTGGTTATGTTCAACCTTCGCCTTCTGATTTACTTGGCACGTGTTTCTTGGTAGCGGTGTTCATAGTCAATCTCGACTCGACACCACGCTACAATCTATTGATTATAAGTCCTTTTTGTTTGTTGTAGTTTAGATGTTGAAAAGTGATTCTTTTTTATATAGACCGAAATATTTATGAAGAAAAACAAACAAGAATATAGTTGAACTGGATTACAGTATACTTTTTACGAATACGAAGTTTTAATTTTTGAACTGAACAGAACCCAATTAGCTAGATTTGTTTATAGCTTATTGGATAATGAATACAATGGTGTACATTTGAAAACGTAGTTTTCAGGTTATAAAGTTCGTCTTAAAATGGTTTTAATCGATTGGTACTAGCTCACCTCTTCAGATTTAATTAAAAAATTGAATTCAAGGTATATGACATTTTTTGTACAACTGACTAATAGAAAGTAAGTTACCTGAAAAGATATATAAAATTATAATTAGCCTATTTCTTTGTGAATATACTCTTTGTCTACCATGAACTAAGCTACCTTAACTAAAGTTGTGGCGTATGTTACTTATATCGACAGACCTAAGTATTATGTAACACCAGTGGGAAATGGAAAACCTGACATCAGGTTAGAAAAACCGAGTTGACGAAAACAAAAAAAGGGGTAGAAAAAAATTGTAACTTGAAAGAATATGAAGAACAATAGATGTAAGATCTGCAAATGACTTATTTGGTGATATAATAATTTATGGACGACCTTTGAGCGACGCCAAAATGATCTTGAGAGTGTCCACCTACTTACTAGGGCTAAATGATGGTTATAAAGCAGTATGAAGAGTAAGGATTATGATTTACAGTTGATGATTAGGGTTAAGAATGAGGTTTACGATTTTCATCACAAACTGACATCAACTAAAATGCCAAGACACAATTTGGTCAAATTGTTGAATGAATTTCGCGTCAAATCCAAAACTTATTATTTCTAATCTGTTTGGTTCATCCATAAACTATAGTCTCGTCAAACAATCTGTAATTATGTATTAAATAATAAATTAGTTATGGTGGAGATTTGTAGCTCAGGTGGATGATTTTGATGGAGTTTTGTTGTCTGAGCTGTGTGGTTTGGTCGTGGAGCATTCATCGTTCTCCTGAACGACATCATCAGCACAAACGTCAGATAAATGGGTGTGCCACATCTGGGTGTGGCACAAAACCGACAAAATCATTACAATCAATACTATATAAACCAATGGATGAAATAAAAAAAGAAAACAAATCAAAAATCAGCTACAAAATAAATTGTGCGAACTTCGAAAAACACTACATCGGACAAGGCGGACGCCCCCTTCACCTCGCCTACATCAACATCGATTAGCAGTCAAACGCCATGATATCTCTTCACTTATATCAATACACGTGGACAACTGCGGACACTCATTCGATTGGAAAAATATGGAAATCTTAGACAGAGGAAACTCCAAAAACACCAGAGAATTTTTAGAAGCCTGGCACTCAGGTCAATCAGCAATCAACCAGCATATTGAAATCAATCCAATTTATCAATCAACCAGAAAAATTATGGAGAAATATAGGAACAAAAATCAAACCAATGGGCGAAACAACCAAAATAAAGGAGTAAACAATGACAAATTTAAGGTCAATAAGAACTAATCAACGTCGAGGTGTACAGAACAAGCTGGGAAACGTATATGGAGAAATTCGAACACTTCATTTCTATCTGAAGTTTGTGCTGATGATGTCGTTCAGAAGAACGATGAAAGCTCCACAAACGAACCATCCAGCTCAGAGAACAAAACTCCATCAAAATAAATTAGTTATCCCCAATTAATTTTTCATTTATTACAAAGTAACTATTTTATTACAATAATAACCCAAATAGAACTTGACACCATTGTCAACACATAAAAACTATATTCATAGATATATTTTACAAACAAAAAAAAAGAAAGAAAATAAATAGTTACCTGTTTTTGATGATCATCAGGAAAATTTAATAAACCTGATTTACTATTTAATAACCATATTGGTGAATTATCATTAATATCAATAATATGTACACTAACAGTAATAATATTAGTATATTGATCATCTGATCGAATATTCAAATCTAATTGACAATTAGTTAATTGTTCATTATTAATTAAATTAAAATTTTTATTAAAATAATTTATATTATTATTATTATTAGGATGATTTAAATATGTACAACATGATTTAAATAATGGACATAATTGATCACGATCAATTCGTCTAGCAACACGTATAATACCAGTTTTTGCATCTAAATGAAAATATTTTGATTGTGGTTCACTATTAAATATTTGATAATAATTTGATTTTTTTCTTTTTTCTTCTTTTTCTTTTTCTATTTCTTCTTTTCCTTCTTGTTCTTCATTATTATTGTTATTATAATTAATTAAATAATTTTCATTAGAATTATTCATACGATTAATTGGAAATTGTAAATTAGCTACTTCTCTACCAATTGATTCTTCTTCAAGTAAATAAACATTTAATTTTTTTAATTCACTTAAAAACATTGTCTGAGTTAATGAATTATATTTTTGTATTTTTCTATTCTTATCATTATTATGTATCAATGTATATGTACAATAATTTGTAGTAATAATAATTGAAATTAATAAAAAATTAATTAAATTAAAAAACTTTAATGAATATAATTTCATTTGTTGCTAGGTAGTTAATTTATTGAATAGCATAGATGGATAAATTTAATTCAATATATATTCAATATACTATTGACAAGTTATTGTTTATGATCTAAACGGGGAAAAACACAAAAAAAAACAAAATAAAATAAAGGAAAACATAGAAAAAAATTATATGAAATATAAATAGTAAAACAGTATTAGAATTATCATTACGTAACATAGTTAAACTGAATAATTAAAATATAAAAAAATAAATATCATATCTATTTAATGTGTAATGGTTACAAAGAGCTTAATGTTAATGAAGTTTTCATCCATAATCCAACTTTATAAATGAGTATCCATGGCATTTAAAATAAAATAGAAATATTGGTAAAACTATAATTTACGAACGAGCCAATCAGAGACGTTTCAGGGTTTTCAAGGTCATGGCGCCAATTTCAGTACTTGATGCTTATGTACGATTGATTCCCAATGAATTTTAGAGAAAACGTGATAATTGAACAACTACAATAAATGTGACTGTTAAAAAGTTGATTTGTTTGTGATTAAGTTAATCAAATGACTTATGGACCTTGTGCAAACTACCATGATGATGTTGTTTTTCGATGTGATATGTGTTGGGGGAAGAAATCTGCTAAAATAGGGATTTTCGCTCGATCCAGATTAAGACTAAGGCAAATTATGACAAATTTTGGAAAAATTATGGCAAATCATGTTGTGAGCTGGATAATAAGAACACCAGTAATTCTGGCTGCTACCAAGTACTACAATATATACGGATGATTGGAGAGCGTACAGATAGCTGCATAGACTTGGTTATGTGCATCGTGTCTTTATCCACAAACAGCATTTTCGGACACAAAAACCGGAGTACACCAAACGAATTTGAAGCTGTATGGTCGAGGCTGATAGTTTTTGCGACTTTATCATGGCTGCAGAGGCCGACAATTATTGAGCCATATGGATGATTCGCTCTACTGTATTCATTACGATTTTAGAACCTCTGAACCTTTTTCTCACCTTGATGAGTTTTTGAACCATGTGAAAGTAATGTATCCACTTTAATTTTTTGGTATTTTGTAATATGTTTTTACTGTATACTAACTGCTTTCTGATTGGCCAATATTCCTCAAGTTGATGCAAGATTCGTTCAAAGGTCGTCCATAAATTAAGGTCTCGCCTAAATATTCATATTAGTAGAAATGGATGGTGCCTAGCAATGGAATTCGGAATGCGCGTTTCGTCCTGGTTACGATTGGTCAGCTGGATGTACTTTTAGCCCACATTTGATGTTCACCCCCCATAATTGAATACAGTAACGTTCGCTTCAAATACCATTGCGTTATACACTTAGCTACTGAGTCCTGATATACATTAACTTGTGTAATGAGGTGAAGTTTTGATCCAGTTTTATGTTGTTTATTTGAATCTTCTCATTAATATTTAGGATTGCGACTGATCGTGCTATTATTAGATTTAGATTCCCAGAGCGAACATCAACTCTGGGATCGAAGTACACCTAGCTGACGTGTTTTGAATGGGACGAAATGAGCGTCCTGGATTCTACTGCTAGCCATCATCCATCTTTGCCTATAATGCTTGTGACTCAAGGCGATGTCGAGACAATCCGAATAGTATGAACATACGCCAATAAGTGACTGATCAGTTGCATTCCTAAACATCAATGGGAAGTTTAAATTAAAACAATAACAAGTGAATTTATACTAGTGGTTTATTAAAAAGATAATAGGATTAATGATACTTTGGTAATCATACTTTTTTCACAATAAATTCATGAATATGCGTATTTTTTTCGTTACTTTTCATTATTAAAATGTTTCCTTCAAGCGCATATCCTAAAACTCTCCAAGATGGCTATCTAAATTTGAACGCATATCGGTTAACAGTTAAATTGTTGGACATCTGGTCCATACCAGTCGTCTTTCCACACTAGAATCCTCACCAAAAGTTGTCAATGAAGTCAAAATAACGGATTTTCAGTAAAACTGAACAATAACCTAGTTCATAGCAGAGGTTTTAGCAATTCATCATCGTATTGAGGAGAGGCATACCTAGTTTTTATTTTCTTAATTGCTTTTTTATACGTGTGTATTTCTTCGTTATCTCCTCTTTATTCGTCAGGTAAACAAACTTTTACACCCCGTTTCTATATAACTATTACACCGAAAGCCCTGGGTTGGAATCCCGCTAACGGGGTCGTGGATGCGCACTGCTGAGGAGTCCCGCAATAAGAAGAAACGGCCGTCCAATGCTTCCAGGTTTCCAACGGTGGTCTAACATCAATCGGTTGATGATCTCAACCAAAAACTTAATAATCTCCATAACCGCTATACTGTTAATTTTTCTAACTATCGGTAATTTTGTTAATTACTGAACAATCTTCTGTTTTACTGTAAACCACTTTGTGCGTAAACTGACTGTAAATACAATTATATGAGTTTAGTAAATAACCAGTTATCGTCGTTTGTTTCCTTCCGTTTAAATTTATTCATCAGTGTTAGGTATATACTTACATTTAAACTAAGAAAAGAGCAATACGTTCTTGACTAGTTGTTACCTGGATGAGTTCCCACGTCTTGAAGATAAAACAGACAACTATTTGTGATTGAATTTCCTTAAAAAGATGTTTTACATTTTGGTGCGTTTTGCTTTATTCGCTAAACTGTACTGACATCGTATTAATTTACAAAAGTAACACGATGCACTTTGATCAAGATTCAGCTGATTTTGAGTCGAGTTTCATTTGCTTTATTCTTTTTAATAAATCTAGTTATTTGATTCTACAAATTTTTGTCTTAGTTGGTTCATACATTTCAACTACAACCACACCATTTCTATGATTGATCGACTCAATTCCAAGCCACAAATGATAAGATATGAAAATTTAAAAGTTAAAAGAATGAAAATTCTATGTACTCCGGTTGTTAGTTTAATGTCAGACAGTTTCATCACCATATGATGATTACAAATGAGCCTACCATTAAAAAAATTTGGTCACAGAACACGGCATAGCATGTTTTCTCGTTACCCAGTATCTACATTGAATCACAAAACGAGATTCTGTTCAAGCCTGTCCATTGACTGAATACTTTGCCTACAGTTTCTATGTGAGAGTAGATTGAGATGTTCTTAATTGTCTCACAGGTATAAATCAAGATTATATACAAATAATTATTAAATCAATACACATTTTGTGCCAATTCATCTTTGAAGTGCTATATGAATTGCTAACGTGACTATTTGTACATATTATACTCACGGACCTATCAATGAAATAGACACTTTACTTCTATCCTTCTAAAGTGTTATGGTTTTTAACAATATCAAATTAAAATAAATAAAGTTTGTGAAATAAACTTTTTAGGCATTCCTTGAATACCTAATCTAGAACTCCTAAGCAGTATATACTCACTACCTCGCATTCTAAATTTGTGACCAGCTTGAGAAACTTAGATATTTTACACACAACACAGCAGTTTATTTGTGATCACCATACAAAGTTGTCGGTAATATATATCAGTAACTATCATTTGCCAGAGTTTCGGAATTCCATTTTGACTAGGCTCATATTCTTAGTGTTGTGCTCAGACCGTGTTAGTAGATAAAAATTAATTGTTGAGACCTTGATAATTATCATGACGTATGTCTGGAGACGATGGGTGACATGATTTAAAATTGTTTGAAATTGTACAGACGTATTCATTCATTATCTTCTCTTAGTTAATATTTTTTTTCAAATCTTATGCTTTCTTACTCGACGAAATAATATTTTCTTCACGAGTCTTAATGTTTATGTCAGCTTTCTTCCACTATCACTTATGATGTTACCACTCCTATTCCTTTGGCATTTCGCAATACTTAACTTGATGCACATATATTTCAGGCTCTACACTATACATGACTGATTGATTGACTGATACTGGATTTTGTATTTTTATAAAAATCCATTTAACATTTGATCAATATTGTTCTTGTGTCGAAATGTTAAGATTATTAATAATATGAACTTAATTCGTCAAACATAATTAATCTGTTTTCTCATATTGTGGTGTGGGTTACTTATATCTACACAAAGTATAAAACGGTAGTCAGGCATATGATGTGTTTCAGTAAAACGTCGATGGGGAACAAACAGGAACGCAACGCGATTGGCATGAAAACGCATGGCCAATGAAATCTGAGACAATGGATTGGTGTTTTCAATAGGAACAGTCAATTTTGATAAGATGTATTGATATTTTGCAAATTAACTACTTACCATATGGTTCTCAGATTTGATTGAGATGCTCTATAATGATGCGCTCTAATGCGTTCGATTGTCCTCACTAGTATTCTGTTACTACAATATCACCTGTGATAAGGCGAAACTTTCAATCGTATATTTATCAAGTAAATCGTAGACTAATTCATTTGTAAAAAAATAAGTGAACGTTTATCTCCAATTTAGAGTTTTTTAGCGAGTTATTTTTCTACGAGACAGGGTAGCTAACCCCATCCCTAATCCTCCTTTTTTAGCCGGGCTCACACGGGAGGTGGAGGTCTGAACAACACATTACATCGGGAAATAGAAACAAATATGTAAAGGATGAATAACAACTGGGAAGAGCTGGAAAGGATTGCCCAGGACAGGGTTGAATAGAGAGTGTTGGTGGGTGGCCTATGCTCGTCCACGAAGAGTAACAGGCGTAAGTAAGTATGGTATCCCCAATTCATAATAAGAACAGTTTTTTCACACGCTCACATAATTTATGATGTAATTAATTCTTAATTACTTCATTATATATATATGCTTTGGACATTAAAACTAGACTTTTTGAGCATAGAGAATTTCATTAATGATATTAGTTACCAATATTAGTAGAGTTTAAACAAAGCGTGAAATGAATTATATAGGAAGAAAAAAATATTATTTTTAAACAAATAATGGATTTATTATACGCTATATATATACACATCGATTAAACTATATTTCTCAAAGTAACAATCAACAG